CCAGCTCTAGGATTAAACTATTGATTTTTAGTTACATACTACCCTTATTTTAAGCATAATTAATTTTTTCAATTGTATTATCGCGAATGTTAAAAAAAAGCATCCAAATTATTACACGAGACACGTTCTCATTATAGACAAAGAAACCATAAAACTTACAATATATTTAATATGTGCATATTTGGATGGAATTTAATATAATAGAGTATATAAGGTGTGTATGTAACATTACTAATTTGTAGTTCCTCGAAATTCATCACACATAATATGTACGTATTACATTGCTGAGTTGCAATTCTATATTACAAACTCAAACTCAAATGTATAACGCACTTGGAACTTCAGTTTGTCTACTGTATCTCATGGCAAATGTTAAGTACGTAAACTGCAGCCTAGCAGTCTTATGAAGTTATAATAAGTACCTACATTATGTATAATTTTACTCCGAGAGAAAGGAAGAGTACAAAGTTATATGCATGAATAAAGATTATAAGCTTTGATGTTTCAAACTATAAACAATAGCAACCACTTACCATCAGACCCACCTTCTGCTTCTTTGTCACCTTTATGATAAAAATATTTAAAAAAAAAATATGAAAGCCAGCTGGCGCGTAGTACTTCAGCAATTTATCTGTATGACCCCAAAGCAGGCATCGTAGGATCAAGTTGTTTGTAGCCAGAAATGAATAATGGCTTTTGGAAATTGCGTTCGCTAATAACTTCTTACAGAGTTTTCAGTTTTGATCTACGCTCGCAAATAAGGATGGACGAGCTCAGATGTGGAACGACTTCGTGATAAAGTTCAACGCAATTTCAACAGTCATTTTGTTTTGATTTAGTGAGTTGATTAATCATTGTCCCTTTTCTGTCGAAGTACGAAACGATATTTATGTTAATGCTCAATTTATGAAAAACAAATTTACAATTCTTACGTAATATTGCTTACTAGAGTATAGTATTTAATTGTTCTTTTATTAATACCATTTATTATGCAGAGCAAAATACTTCATAAAAGATGTTTATTAAATATTAATACGACAAAGGCAGGAACAGCTCTATGAAATTCTATATATTTAATAGGCAGTAATATTATGCAACGAATTATTAAGTTCTAGTTACCTCTGCCTCCCTGTACCAAACATAAGAGCTTATAAACTTCGCTTATTAATATTTATAGAACCCCGAGTTAAATGTTACTTGGAAGGTATTCGTAGTTAATTTGGCGGGAACCAAGCCGCATTACTCAGGTAATTAATTCGTTAATCACGTTAGAAATCCGGTCGGCAAACAATGTGAGTTGATCTGACGAAATCCCAGCGAGCGCTCCACCTACACCCACTCGGTAATGAAAAAATACTGGCCATATGCAAGTCACTCTTCATATTAGTTGCGCAATAAGTATTCCTTGTTAGTTGCATGAAGGTAGGTAAATTTATATAAGTTCATTTACAGGTCGGCACTGTAAACTAAGTCAAATATATTGAGGCAGTTTTCATGGTTATTTCTTTGCCTTGTACGAGTATTCTTCTAAATGAGAGTAATACTGTCTTTGTCTACTTTTTAATAGGTGGTCATGGAATGGTAGTGCCGCTTGCGCTATCGGTATAAGCTGCCATTGGTGCCCCACCAGTGAGAGATGACAGGTGATGATGAAAGCAAGTCTGTTTGCCCATCGTGATAAATTTAAAAATTAACCACGATAGTTTCCAGAGGAGACCGCGTGGAGATCGACTTAATGGCAATATTGCTAGCAATAGAACTTTCAGATCCCTAACTAACAACATTTTGCTGCTGTATTTGTCTATTTGTAATTATAATGTAAGAATAGAACTTATCACCATTCCTTTATTCCCTGGATGTCGTAAATGGCGACAAAGGGAATACGTACACTAGTGCAAAAAAAAAAAAGAAATAAAAATCTAATCCATGTCGACTGGCTATTAGGTTTATATCTTAGACTACGTTTAGGTATAAGGAGTAACAATATTCTCTTCTCAGTAGTTAGTACAAAGTTAGCTTAGTTTGTTATAATAATGTTAAATATTTCTTTCCTTTCCATTAATGACACTCTCCCATAAAGACAGGATATTCACCTACAGTTTCCATGCAGGCCTAGGGATTTAGCGTGAGGTTGAAATTGGAGTTTTCCTTCTCCTGCAGAGCGTGTATTGTTTTGTCGTCTTACTACCACATACGAAATTCTGAAAAAGAAAGTTGTTGTGATACATTAGATTCTACGTCTTTTATATATATTTCTATCTGTTCTCCTTTAACCAAAGGTCTGTAAGAATTTGTACCTTTATGTGTATATTTCAATCTGTATTTATGTTACTATATTTCACTTGAATTATTCACATGTCATTGTATATTTTTATTTATGGTGCAATAAAGAGTTAAATAATAATATATAAAAAAATGCAGAGTGACTAACTGACTGATCAAAATTTTGCAGATGGATTTGTTATATAGCGTAGATGAAAAATAAAAAATAAATTTTGGAAATTCAACCCTTAAGGTAAAGTAGGGGCTTAAAATTTGTATAACATTTTCTCAGTATCATAATTAATCACGTGAAATTTTCGATTTAGGCTAATGGTTCAAAACAAAATCCGCGAGAAATTGAACACCACACGCGAGCGAAGTCACTGACAAAATCTAGTTAAAATATAATTACATTTAACAGTTCCATCTGTCAATACGAGACTGATCATTAAATGTACCTGCTCATAAACAAAGTTACCTTACGTAGTGAATTCAAGTCGTTCGACTGAATGGAATCGGGGAACTAACCTAAGTTTTCCTATAACGAAGTTGGATCAGCAAACAGGAGTCACATTCGGCTATCTGTCTACGTAACATCATTATACACCGCTCGTTAGTGTCGCGTTTGACGTGCAATCTTGGAGAATTGTGAACGTTATAGAGTTACAAACTTGTGTATTATTGGAACATTTCAAATTACTTGATTATATAGTCTTGACTTCTAGTTACGAGTATACTAATCTTACTTCTTACTAATATAATAAAAATTGGGGGGAAAGGTATTGTTAGTAATGGAGACTGAGAATCCCATTACTAGCAATATACCCAACCAGGGCGACCTGCTCGCGGATCCCTCTGGAAACTATCATGATTAATTCCTAATGAATTCATCATGATGTGCTAACTGGCCTGTTTTCATTCTCATCTATCACCCTTCACTGGTGCTCCGCCAGCGTATCCCGTTAGCGCAGGCGGTGTTACCATACAATTTTCACGCATCAAATAAAAAAATAATAATAAAATTGTAATCAGACGATGTCTATACATAGGAGATGTTTAAGAAAAACTCATACGAGGAGTCTTAATACTTTAGATTTTTTTTGTCTGTTTGTCTATCTGTATGTTTGTTTTGGCATTACGTAAAATTTCTGCATCCAATTGTATACGGTATTCACAGTTGTATTTCTAAAGTGATTGCCGTGTGGTTCCAGCATAGAATAGGCCATCATGCTTGGGTACCTCTGTCCCATTCGTGTTTCAACCGTAAAGCAGTTGTGTTTGCATGGCTGTGTTTCGGTTTGAAGGGTGGGATATGGCGTGAATTTACTGGGTACGGAGGAATAACACCTGAGTCCTCAGGAATGCAACGCATGGGGGGTATCATGGGTGAAACAGTATACTCTGTTATGTCCATGGTACTGCTCATGTCTATAGGCGACGGAATTACTATAATAGAAAAGATTCATTGATTAAGGATAATACTTGTCTGCCACAACATTGATTAAAGATCTGTCAAAAAACAAAAAAAAAAAATAAAAACGTACCATAAATTAAGAATTGTGTACGTATGCAGACAAAAGATGAGAGTTATAAAGATTTCAATTCAAAAACAAAATCTCTAAATTTCCCTCTTCTATATAGTATCGTATTACGAGTAGTAATCATCATCACCATATCAGACTTTAACTATCCACTGCTGAATATAAACCTCCCCTTGGGGGGTTTTGCTAGTAGTTGCCACGCTTGGCAGGTGGATGGGTAAGCGCAGTCAGGCTTTAGAGATGTTTTAAAAGGAAGGATGCTGCCCATCCCTTAGTCGGCTCTGACGACACCCACGGGATAGAAAGAGGTGGCCTATTCTATGCTGGGACACAGCCTAACTAGTAATACATGTATAATAATGCGAAAGTTTGTAAAGGCTTCTGAATATTTGTTACTCAATTACTCTTAAACGGTTGAATGTATTTGCATGAAATTTGGTAGGTTATTTTGGTACTGGTAGTTTATATTCTTCTTAACATACACTATATTTTATATATTTATGTATTTGGATGTAGCCGTGTAAGAAACAGCTAGTGTAAAATATAACTAAACTACCATGCTGTCCAAAGTATGTGCTACCAAAAAGGAAGTATTAAAATGCGGTTCGGCGACGTAATGGCTAATAAATCAGAGGTGTAACGCTAATATATAGCCACCACGTGACTTTTAATGTATTTAGTTAGGCAACTTCGCTTGAAGGATCTACATTATGCTCAAGTGCTCACGCCGGTTATTTTTAGCGAATCTCACCAGCCGTGCACCCATTTATTAGCAATTTGTAAAGCTTCATATACCTACCTACATATTTTCGTAGTTCTAAATATAAATGGTGCAGATAAAATAATGTTTTATTAAATCACTCCTAAGGTTGATTATTTGATTAATATTAGTTCAAAATATTTAGTTAAAATTGAGAGATTTAAATAAGTAATAATTGACCTTTATTAATTAAACCTCAACTCATAAAATTAATTAACTTAATTCATAATTAATCATCTAATTTTCTACATATGCGCGGTCTTTCTCTCGGAATACCTTTTACTGTTTAAGGAATTCCCTAAATATATTACCTAATCAAATGGTAAAAAATAACTTTATCTACGCTGTGTAGCGGTTATACCTTTCAAATTAATTAAATTTTACCTATGACTATTTCTCTAAGATATATTAATATATATTTTCCGCTTTCTTTTAAGGGATTTCAAGTTGGTGCTGAGACCAGACCCGAGTTCGGTGTTTGCGGATGGCGTCCAATTCCACTCATCCGCTGGCCAGGTGGACTACAACACAGGGCAAGTCTATTCGGGCAAGCTGGAAGGTAAACATCTTAATACCCAATTACTCAATTCATCTAGACATCCACTAACTTTCTTGACACAAAGATCTATTCATATTAATACATAATATTGGCTTTCGTATTCATATATCAATTAGTTTTTTCGTTTATTTTTTAGCAAGTACCATATTGGTTTTTTTTAGCAAGTACGACCTTATCTTTGGATTTTTCAACTGCTGTGATTTCAACTTCTGATCCCCCAAAAAATACGAGTTGGCCAGAAAGCCCATGTCTCCAAAATATAAAAGGAATCTTTTATAAAATACTGTTTAGAGACATCAACTTTTCTGAAGGCTCGCAACCAACATATGAATTCTTTAAGTATTAGAATATATTATACTTTTCTAGATATCCTTATTAAACCCCTCTTCTTATATATTTTGTAATACTCAAGTAGGTTACATACAAATGTATAATAAAATAATAAACTTCAACATAATCGCTTTACGGCTCAAACGTCGATTATGCAACTCGGCCATTCAGCTAAAGTCATGGTGTAATGTCATAATTTACTTAATTGTTAGTTTCTAATTTTCTTTTCACATATCTGCATGCGATGACACCATGACACACATTCTCATTAACAGCTATACATTCTAGAAGTTAAGATAAAAGGCAAACAAATCTTCAACAACCGTAAGCTCATAGCCAGAAACAGCTTAGTTGCTTTGAATGATAGATAACTTTATCTTTTTATTAGTATAAAAACCTATTAATATTTCATGTGTTTGAATTGGATATACAAGTACATCGTATTACTAACTACCACAGTAGAAGTTATAACTTCATATACAATATTACTATGGAGAAGCCTATGCTAGATGCATTTTCTGAACTATGGTTGAATCAGAAATGAGCATATTCGCAAAAGAACCAAAATGACCTTAAAGCTGATGTAGCAGTGGGTTAGCCACATAGCTCAAAGAACCTATAACTGTTCGATGAAAAAGGTTCAAGTTAATATTAATAAAGTCCTTTAGAAATTGTATGAACAAAACTGCCTATGGAATAAGAACTGAAACAGTCTTATATCTGGGCACAGACCAGTATCTGGAAAATAGTTAGTTCAAACTGGAATTTTACATAATCTAAAGGTACTTTGTTAACTGTTCAACCGTCCTCGAATAGGCATGATTTATTTGACGTTTATTTGAGCAGAGTAATTTGTTTTAGTAATCCGTACTCAGTTGGTATTAATCATTAAGAATATTATAACAGCGGGATGGTCCCATAAGTAACGCGTTATCACTCCTAATAAGTAATATCCATTGGATATATCTGTTGAAGATAATCATATCCAATCGATAAAATAGCTTGATCGATTAATATAATTCCATTTAAACTAGATGATACTAATTTGAAATATAAATGTATATTTACTTTTTTTAATTTTCCCCGTCATGACCTACGAAACTAATATAACAAATATACACGAAAAATGTAAGTTCTTGAGGGTCTGACGAAAAACGTATCCGAATCGTTTCAAAGGTAAAGTGAAGTGTCAGCTTTGTAACGAGGAACTGTCGCGAAGCGAGTCACGTGCGGTGCGGCTCGTTTATGCCAATTCATGCCGCTTCCTTCGTGTATGACGTGAACACTGTCCAAATGTTACATTCGGCTTCTCTATATAACCATCCTCTTCCTATTTTCTGCCGCCCTGACATTATTTTCAAGCCACTTCCCGACATTTCTATGGGTGATATCATAAAATTCTCATTAGCTGATTCTTTCGTGCAAACTTACTTATGAACTTTGATATTAAAATTTTCATCAAGTATTGAGTAGATGTAGTTGACAAAGCTGCGGGACATAGTCTTCACATAATGTTTGTGACATAGTATTTCGTTTATTTGTTAGTACAAGCTTTATTGTACACTCATATTTAAAACACACTTTCCATCAGATTGGCAATGGCCCATTGTCTTGTTTGTTTGTTGCCAGCTTATTTGCCATTCTAAGTTGCATAAAAAAAATTAAAAGTAATATCAGGTTAAAAAAAATTAAAACATTTTATTAATTTTAAATATTAATTCGTTTATAGATAGATATCTACTGTTTTAATTAAACGAAATGATATTAAAATTAGTAATGTAGTGATTAAAAAATCTTTTGACTTTTACAATATACTATAATAGTTTTCCATAGTATCCAAGTAAATATACATATATCTTATCTGTAGATATATTTTAGTTCGCTTTTCTATAACGTTTATATTAAGCGGCCTGAAGAAAGGACCGCCATAGCCATATCTCCCAGCTTCCGTTTAAAATGTATAAGGGTAAAAGGTCTACTAAGTGCCGACCCTCGGAATCACTACTTAGAATATCTACAGCGTTAGATCGCATCAACGAGTAACATCGGTTACTCTGTAAAACTCTGCCTAAGAGGAGCTCGTTCTTTCAAGTACACCATCAAATGTCCGATCAGTGTGTCAAACATGGAAAGAGAAACTGCACAAGGAAACATTTGGGACGTCACCCTTATTTATTTTTATTAACACATTTGTAAACTTGATAGGCACTTTATAACATGACTTGATCCGCGCGGAATCCGTATGTTATTCGTGACTAGCTTTCGCTCGTTACTTTACACGCGTGGATATGCTACATCTTATAGGTGACTATAAAAACGAATGAAACGGACTACTTTTATGTTATATTATTATATCAATCTTTAATTGTCTGCTGCTGAATATAACTCTCCTTTGGGGGGTTTTGCTAGTAGTTGCCACGCTTGGCAGGCGATTGGCAACCGCAGTTAAGCTTTAGAGATGTTTTAAAAGGGACGCTGCTGACAATCCCTTGTACTCCCTTAGTCGCCTCTTACAACATCTACGGGAAAGGAAGGGGTGGCATATTCTATGCCGGCATATTCTGCATGCATGCATATTCTATGAGAGCAAATACTGGGAAAACAGCGCGAAAAGTTCGAAAACGATAGTTAATTGTAAAAAATGGTAATATGTAAACAATTACTGTTTATTTCCTAATCGCTAGAAGGACTAACGCAATGTTATCTCCCGTCGTCTACTTTCGTACCCGCCACATTTATAATTTCATTCACTGTGTATGTTCACAAAGACAATATTTCGCTACACAATCATATTAATTCTAATATGATAAATCTTCTAATCTTCGTTAAACTGAATTTGGAGTCAGATTACAATTTGTATAAGTTACAACATCCAGTTTGCTATGGAACATTCATATTTTACGATTTTTTCATCAGAGGAAGACTGAACACCAGGGAGAAGTCTGAAAAAAAACAAACCAAATGTGGAAAATAAATCAAAAACTATGTTCAAAAATGCATAACAAACTTTTTTATTATGGCAGCGAGGAATATGTTGAAATCCAAACATAGTACACAGCTTTTACTCATACTTGATCGTAGTTGTTGTAGTATATAACTGAGCCCAGAGGCTTTTCTGTGCCATAAATAGGTGTATAAATGTTTATAATTATGTTATGCACAGTAATTTATTTATTATTATTATTATAACTAGCTGACCCGGAAAACGTTGTTTTCCTCTCTATCTCCACCTATCGTGTCCACTTTTTCTTATCGGTTGAGCGGTTTTGGAGATTAGCGCGAATAAACATCATGACATGGGATTTTTTAATATTAATATTATGCCCGTACCGTCCCTAACCGATGCTATCTAAGCTGGGTAAGGCTTTAGTTTATCAAAGTGATTTCAGAAATTTATTTTACAAATTATCATCATCAGACCAGTTTTCACGATCCTCTTTGTTGCAGCCATTCCGTTAATTGTCCGGCGGGCTACAGAAATTAAATTGTTTTCTTTAAACGGCTTACGCCTTTGTGCTGGTTTTCTTTTAATTATAAGTAAGAGTCAACCCTATAATTGCTTTCTTGATAATAACTCCCAGCGTTCCCGCTCCCGTTAACCTGAATGAGCATTTTCTTGGCAATGGATTTTCGATGTTCGTAAACAAAAACTAATAAATAACTTTATTTCCTGTACAAACCTTTTTTACGGGTCATTGATACTTGGTTTATTTTTAATAACGTTAATAATAAAAGCTTACTCTCCTTTATATTAATATTATTTTTATCGATATAATAATATTATTGATAAAAATATCGTTGTTGAGCAACGAAAAGTTGACTGAAGCTGTTCCAATTCATGTACTTCGAAAATATCTAAACGATTTGAATTTACAGAAGTTATTTTATATGTACATTTAAACTGTACTTTAAACAATTTTCGTCAATATGAATTGGATGATTAACGCAAGAAGTGTACAGTCAGACAGACAAAGGTAAACAAACCATTGCAAGAAAAGGACTACATTATACCAAGCCATCTTTACAATATAAACTATATCCTACTATCCTACTACCTATTATCACATATAAAAGTTAAGAAAAAGAAAATATAATAAAATGACAAGTTGTTCGATAAACGAGGTGATATTGTATTGTTTAAGTTTGAATAAGTAAATATTGCAGTGATGAAGTCATTTTAGGTTTTACTTCCTAACAACGTTGAAACCTAAAAAAATTCCAGTAGCGGATAGTACAAGAATACACATAAACAATAGATTTACATAACTGTGTCGACTTAAAGAGCTGATTATCCTTAACGCGTGACATTCCATAACGAGATACCTTCAACAGATTGTAAGCAGTTATTGTGTAATAGTTCAGTTAACTGCTTTGTTTTGCCTGTATCACCCGATTCCCGCGGCTCTAAAGCTTTTGTTTCTTAATTACAACCTCACTTTACTTGGCACAGTGTTATTGAAAACAAACCTCTTCTCACAATGGCAAAATGTTTTCTGATGACTGGCATTTTGTGAACTTTTCGTATTATTGTATTTATTTTTTAACTAGGTACAGAGGAATAAAACCTGAGTCCTCAGGAATGGCAACGCATGGGGGTATCATGGGCGAAACAGTATACTCTGTTATGTCCATGGTACTGCTCATGTCTATAGGCGACGGTTACCACTTTCCATCAGGTGGGCCGTCAGCTTGTTTGCCATTCTAAGTCGTATAAAAAAAAAAAAAAAAAAAACTAGGTGCAAGTTACTTCTGTGACGTAGGCAACTAACGAAAACGATTTTCAAAGTTACATATTCATATGTGTATGAAAATTTTGTGAATTTATGTATAAACTTTCAATATTTATTAATATAGTAATAATTTATTTTTATTACCTATTACCACAGTATTAATTTTCAATATCTTAGGTCTCAAATAGAGGGATCAAATTAAATGTTGTTTTTATTTAAATTTAAATCATCTGTTTAAATAGATTTGTCTACTGTAGGGGTCGGAAATTTGTTATTTGCTGAGAATCCTTAAGAAACTTAACAGTTACTCTTTTAAATCTTTGTTCATCATATCAGGCTTTAATTGTCCACTACTGAACATAAGCCCCTTGAGGAGGTTTTGGCAGTAGCTGCCAAGCATGGCAGGCTGATTGGAAACCGCAGTTAAACTTTGAAGATATTTTAAGAGGGACGCTGCTGCCGATCCTTTGTCTTCCCTTAGTTACCTCTTACCACGGGAAAGGAGTGGCCTATTCTATGCCGGGACCACACGGCCAAACAATATGTCTACTAATTGAAATGTACTATGTCTAAAATTACATGGTTATTAAAAATCCCGTGCAGGATGAACTAACACCATGCGCATTTGTCATTCAAGTAATTGTTTAGTACGTAATGTGTGTGGTCTTGTTAAAATAAGTATTTTTTAATAACAGTTTTAAACGGTAGTTCCAAAATATCTTTCGATATCTTACTATGACATTTAATGCCCATTCCCATTTGTATCTAGTAGTAATATTATTGATATCGCTGTTTTTTTTTTTAAATAGTTGAAGATGCCTGCGTATATACAAAATGTTTGCGTATATGTATTGTGAAGCTACGGTGAGAATATTTGCTTTTTTAAATTTCTCTCTTAGTAATTCACAACTTCTTATAGAATAAATCACACCTTTTTGTAATACAAATCTACTGTTTTACTCCATAATAATATTCCCTCGAGCAGTATACTATAAAAGTAATTAAAATAAACTAATAATAAACCCGCCTTGGGTTTAGCGATAAATTTTAGCTATGTTTGGTGGAAATCAAATTAATACACTCAGTAGCTAGACTCGAAGGCATTTGGTTAATTAAACATTACAGTTAGAACTCAGATGGTTTAGAAATTCAATACAATATAGATTCTGAAACGAAATATCCAGTCAGAAGGGTATGAAAAGGAATGAACTCTAAGAGGTTTTCGTTCTAAGATTGAAATATGTTTTTGTACTTGTAATTATAAATTACGCAAAGATTTATTTATTAGTAACCTTTACTAAAAACTTCATCCCTGTAACCAGGATATGTTTGTTGACTGGGATAAAAAGTAGTTGTATGTTCTTTTCCTTGCCATGTAGTACATGTATACCACATTTCGTGACCGTTGTTTGATCCGTTAAAACTCTAAGAAGTAACAAACAAATAAAACTCACTTTTACATTTATAATACTAGTACCTTACTAATAATGGGTATTATCAACAATAAAAGAAATGAAATGTAGTAATAAAAAGATAAAACTGTAAAGTACGAGCTAGGACATTAAATGAAATGAATTATCTAACTACAAAAACTTATACTTTAAAATTTTCGTGAAAACTTATATCGAAAATAATCACTATGTGAACAATTCGCTTATTTTCTACAACGATGAGACAAGCAATTAAACATGAGCCCAAGAAAGTTGTACATTCTGCGACTAAGTTAATGAAACGGATTTATGTGCCGAGACCCATCTGGAACGACGGTGACAAAGTGAATTTTGATGAAATTACTTCAAAAGTTTAATGGAGTAGGTACACTTCTTTAGGCTTTGTTTACTAATAATAACACCGAAAGTTAGGCAGCTTCTATCTTAATTTTAATAGGTTCATGATCAAAATGTCTTCTATCAAGTTTTTTTGCCTTTCAGAAGAAACCTTAAAAATCGTTTAAATTTTATCTGCTTTCTAAAAGTCCTTCTAAATAATAATGGCAGATGTAGATTCCGTTAAATTGCACATGGCCATTACCGAAATCATTTGCTTAATGTTGATTCAACCAAGCGTTTGGAGGAAAGACTTTGATGTTACCTGCCCGTTTTTGCAGTCAAAGTATACGGAGACATCAAACCTCTTTAAATTTATTTCTCTTCGTACCTTTCATTAATTCCGTGTTTTACACAGGCGATTTTTTCTTTTTATCACAAAATTAATGAAAAGAAAGGTGGAGGGTTAGGTAATTACCGTTATTTATGAGCGGTTTTCCCCGCCTTCGACTGCAAGTTGTGATTTTAATTCACAGTCGGAGAGCTCTTTGCACCTTGAATTAGTTTACATAAAATATTGCGGACCATTTATTACTGCATGCCAACTTTGTTTGTAATTCAGAGGGATCTGAATGTAAGGTAGCTTTGTGTTCAAATGAATTTATAACGCTTATTTTATGGTCGAACTGCGTAGTACAGTGATAATTTTGGCTTTTTCCAGGAAATAAAGTTCAGAATTCTCGATCGAGTCAGTTTAGGAACTTTTGACGTTTATATTACTGGCGTTTTCTCAGTTACTTCTTGCAAAGTTTCTTATACCACAGAGTATCCTTATTTCAATTTTCACTAATAAGCAAAGTAACTGTCAGGAACTTTATTATTTACCTATTTGTTTTTTTTTTTATTTTAGATGACGACTCATCTCACGTGTACGGCGTCATTACATCTGATGGTCTCTTCGATGGCACAATTTGGACACCGACTGAAGAATATTACATCGAACCTTTGTCGCGTTACAACGTAGATCACCCTTCTATGCACAGCGTCATCTACCGGAGATCTGACGTAGATACCCCGCAAAACAGCGATGCGACTCCTTGCGCCTCACATCTCCTCCACATCAAAAGAACGATGGGCCACAAGGGCGAATTATTTAATTTCACCGACCATCGAAATCCAGAAGATCTAACTTTAAACAATTATACAGAAGATTTACGTAGCGAAATAAACAGACGCAAAAAACGATGGCTCCCCGAAGACGAAATGCAAGACGACGAGCCAAAGAAGAATCCCGAATTACCTTTAGATTTAGATTTTCCGTACACAAGTAATAGCGATCCGTTCGATAAGTTCAGCACTAGGAAACCGAAAACCAAAATTGATAAAAGTAACCTCATAACTAAAGTCCGACTCGATTCTGAAGAATCTAGACCGAAGCCAAAGACGCACGTAGAAGTGATAAAAACGAAAGCAGGTGTTGTAACAGTTAGTAAAGATATAGTTAAGAAGGAACCAGTCGGGTATACGGTGCTATCAGCTAATGGCACTGATGACGGACGCCATGTTAACAAAAGAGCTACAGTGGATCCGAGAAAGACCACTTGTCTTGTTTATTTACAAGCTGATCATATGTTCTTTCAGCGATACGGTTCAGAAGAAGCTTGCATAGAAGTTATGACTCGTCATGTACAAAAAGTTAATGCAATTTACAAAGTAACAGGTAAGTATTCACACGTTTTCATTTAAAATATGAGTAGTTTTTAGCAGTGATTTTTAGTTAAAATTTAATTTAATACTTTTTTCAGATTTCAATCAAGATGGAAAACCAGATAATATAACTTTTATGATCAAAAGAATAAAAGTGCATACGTTAGATGCATTAAAAGATCCTGCTTATCGGTTTCCTAACAATTACGGTGTAGAAAAATATTTGGAACTTTTTTCAGGTAAGTAATAATAATAGTAATATTTCATTACATACATACATAAATCTAGTAGAACCAATGTCTAAAGGTAACAAACTGATAAAAGTTTAATGAAAAACCTTCTTGATCCTGCTATTGTGAAAAAAATGCAAATATCTTGACGGATATAGACAAATGGACAACAAAATGGTCCAAAAAAAGTTTCGTTTCATCCATTTATGTAACACGCAGTCACAAGTATACATACCGGACTCCTGATGCCGGACTTTGCCTTCTCAACGCACTTTATTACGATTGTCATTCCAGTTTCTAGATCAGATATTCTAAATACGAAAAAGGATCTCCATACAATCATTGCAAATCTTCTTACAATAAATTTAGCAATTTTTTTGGGACACCAAATAGTCCCAAGACCGTTGTAAGTTTCTACAAGTAAAGTACTAAAGTCTAAATCTTCCATGAAGCTTACCTACTTTTCTTTTCCCCACACATTCCCTCTCGTTTAGAATAAAACTTTAATAAAGTTTCACACAATCTTTGAGAAGAAAGACATCACACTGTTATATTTATGTTCACAGAGGAAGACTACGATGCTTTTTGTTTGGCGTATATGTTTACATACCGGGACTTCGAAATGGGCACATTAGGATTAGCGTGGACTGGTGATCTGAAAAATGCAGGCGGCGTGTGTGAAAAAAATGGGGTAAGTAGGTCAACGTATGTAGGGTCGGAAGGACATATATAAAATATTATCTGTGTTACAGGTTAGGGATTTTAAAATAAGAACGAGTGATGATCGAGCGCGCTATTGTGTCGTTTGCATTAATAAATTTCAAGTGGTAGCAATGTAATACCCCGAGACTTAAAATTTAAAATAATGTTTATTCATGCATTTAAATTATTACCATATAGTAAATATAATTAATTAATCTGCACTGTATAATACGTATTTTTTTTTTATTTATAGTATTCCGCTCAATTCAAAATTCAATTTTCATCATCATTTCGATTTTCAAAGAATCAACTAAAAAATCAACTTTTCTACAAAACTTCATTGTGTTATAGCAACAAACAATAAAGGATATTAATGTAGCATAATTATGAAACCTTACATTAATAAATTAGTCTACGGAAGCCATCCAGTAGCATGTGATATATGTTTTTAAGTCTAATATCTAATCCAAATAATTATCTCTTCAACAGCATTATCGTGGTAGTATGAAGTCACTAAATACTGGCATCGTGACACTCTTGAATTATGGGAAACACGTGCCGCCAGCAGTGTCTCATGTCACACTCGCCCACGAGATCGGACACAACTTTGGATCCCCGGTAAGATATCGTAAAAGTTCACGACTATAATTTCAAATAGGGTAGTTAGAAACATCTATCAACCATTGTCGTTATACTTGTTTATCACAAAATTTTGTACTCTTGAATTCCACTAGAATTTTCAAAGAGATACTCTGTTTAATACTTTAAACTTATCGATTGTATTAACAATAGTATTATATCTGATATGATGATGATGATATAATCATCATCAGCCGTTATTTGCCCACTGCTGAATATAGGCCTTCCCCATAAACTGCCATAAGGAACAGTCCCGAGCCACCTACATCCACTGACTGTCATTGAAGTAAATATTCTATACGAATTCAATTACAAATTCACATAATCTGATCGATAAAGTTAGTGCGTCAGTGATGAAATGTGTGGTGTTGTGGTATGAATAGAGACGATTGATTTAAAACTGATTTGCAACTGACAATATTAACAGATAAAAAGGATCTTATATTCTAAATAACAAATAACAAACAAAGAAATTAAGATAAACATGATGGGGCAACATTAACTCCATACGTGCAGTGCAAAATTGGCAACTATTAAAACTCTTAATTTTTAAAACAAAGTAATTTTTTACCACACTACACGCAGTAACCTACATATGACTCCATATGTGGGATGAGTGTAGGAAATTATATGGAGGTAATTCTAAAGATCTTGGAATGAAAATCTTACCGAAAATAGAATTACTATTTTAAAGTACCAATCTCAGACGTTAAGTATAAATGGAAATATTTAACGAAATTATAAAAGACAAAGATTTATTCTCACTATATACCAAACTGAAACTTTCACAACCACCCCCAGCATTGTGCAAAACCAACTCAAACATCCCGCGAAAAGTTCTAAGTCTAACCCAATTTCTAAGTTGTAAGTTTAAAAATAGAACCACTGCTCCTAGCTGAGCATTAAAGGAAAACTCAATTTACCCAGTTGAAGTTATTTGATCAAATACCTACATATAACTCTACATAGATTTAAGCTTAACACACGATAAAAATCAAGGAATCAAAATCATTTGTCTGGGACATTTTTTATCACTTATGCACGTCAATAGTAATTTAAATATTTATTTAAGCTCTTTTATAAGCAACTTCTAAGCTAGTTTTCTTTTTCTTGTATTTATTTATTCGTTGAATAATAACTATAGTCAGTCATTATTGGTAAATTCAAGTTTTAATCTATTCTGGTAATTCCTAAAATAAATGTGTGAGTAGAGCCGCCATTATAAATAAAATATATTTTATGTATCTATTTAAAAATAACAGGATTATTATTAGTTATTCTAGCTTACACCCCGTCAAGAATATCATGGCGCTATAAACTAATAGGGAGACGTGATGATGGACGCCATTAATCATGTTAAACTTTTATCACTAGCACGACCCTGAAGTGTGTACCCCATTCGGTGAAGACGGGAACTACATAATGTTCGCGCGCGCCACCAGCGGCGACCGTAAGAACAACAACAAGTTCTCTCCGTGCTCACTCAGAGCAATCGACCCGGTGCTCAACAACAAGGCCAGGTCATCCAAAGGTTGCTTTACAGGTTAGTAAACTAGTACACGTGACATGAACGGACTGTCACATTTTGAAAGGTTTTGACAGTTGAATGCCATATCTATTCTATACTATTATTAGCTATTGCCCGCTTCGTGCACCGTGAATAATAGAAATAGGAAAATCACTAGACCATTTTTAGATGGCATATCAAGATGAAACATACGCTAATTTTTTATTTAAATCTTCAGGAGCACAACTGTGAATACCGCATTCAGTTATATGCAGTAGTTTTTGCTCAATGTTGAAGCAAACATATAGACAAACAGACAAAATTTCTAAAAATTATTGTTTGACATATATTCGTCGTACTAAGATTCCGCATAATATTTTTTTCTTATATATTTTCTATGTCAATATATATGTCTATACAAACATTGTCTAATTACAATTATATAAGTAAGATTGTACCTCGAATAACATTACCCTTTCTGTAGCAGTCGGGTATACACAATTTTAGTGTCTACATTCTTATGAGTTTTTAAAATAATTTACATTCTCTGAATATGTATGTTTTAAAGACGGCATCTACGGCCAAATAATAATAATAATTGGTTTTTGTGTCGTTGCGCAGCGGAGTCCAGACATAAAATTTGTTATTTTTTACATATAGACCCTATGTTTATTGGATGAAAAAAAAGTAGCAAGGATAAAATAAGAAACATATGTCATTCTTAGAAGTAGACAAAACCCGAAATAGCCCTATATTCATATTGAGATTATGAAAAACTTAACGCGGTCGACGAGTCAAGTACGAAACATATCACGTCTAACTCGAACTGTTTCTATGTTTTACAGAACCACAGCCGGCGATCTGTGGAAATGGCGTGGTGGAAGAAGGCGAGGAGTGCGACTGTGGCTGGGCCTCCGAGTGCACGGACGTGTGCTGTCGCCCGCAGGCCGCCCGGCCGCACTATAAACCTTGTACGCTCACGGAACATAGTGTTTGCAGCCCTAGCCAGGTAAAGTCAGCAAATCCTTAATCATTAATAGCTTTTACAGGATAAAATTGAAATCGGCATCCTTTGAAGGAGATGTTGTACCAGCAGCGATATTAAACACTTCCAATAAAGAAATATGGATCAAAAAAAGGACAAAAAATTTAGTGCGTTCAACTGTTACATTCATATGGAGGACTCAATTTTTTTTTTATTTTAATTGTTAAAGATTTAACAAAATTCTGTCCTAATTCATTTTATAGCATGGCTGGATTCCTTAGTTTTGATGATGTGATAATGATGATATCAGCCTTCAATTATTCACTGCTGATCATAGGCCTCTCCTTTGAGAGGTTTTGCCGATAGTAGCCACGCTTGGCAGGCAGGTTGGCAATTAGGTTAGTGATGTTTTAAGAGGATGCTGCTGCCCGTCCCTAAATCATTAAATTCCCTTAGTCGCCTTTTATGACACCCACGGGAAACAATTTGAATTCGGCCTATCTTGACCAATTTGAAAACATAATATCTAAAAAAGGGTTTTTCATAGATGATAATGGAATACTAATTTAATCTCGCCCGCGCTATCGGAATAGGCTAACAGGACACCAGTGAGAGTTGATAGGCGAAGACGACCCTTTTTTGTTGATAGGCGGGACTAATCCCGGTGGGCCCATCGGGACGAATTCAACAAGAATTAAACACGAATGTTTCTAGGGGGAACCGCATGGAGGACGACCTGATAGGTTATATTGCATTTATTAACAATGAGGCTGTTAGTCTCCATTACGAATAATCCCTTTTCCCCTTAAATTAAATAAGGGTCAATCACTCTATAACGGGCAACACATACTAGAGGGCGACTTTGTACAAGAATCGTTAGCATGAGCACCTGTGTCCCATTCGTGTTTCTACCGTGAAGCAGTTATGTTTGTATGGCTGTGTTTCGGTTTGAAGGGTGAGATATGGCAGTAAATTTACAGGGTATAGAAGAATAATACATGAGTCTTCCGGAATGGCAACACATGGGAATTATCATGAGCGAAACAGTATACTCTGTTACGTCCATGGTACTGCTCATGTCTATAGGCGATGGTTATCACTTTTCATCAGCTGCCATTCTAATTCATTTGCCTTTCTAAGTTGCATAAAAAAAACATTCAGTACGAATAATTGAGAGACGATTTTGATTATAAATAAGAGTTAATATTGTACTCGTAATTGTGTGACGTATGCGCTCCAGGGCCCGTGCTGCACGGCGTCGTGCACGCTCAAGTTCGGCGACAAGTGTCGCTCGGACAACGGATGTCGAGACGCCGCGCACTGCGACGGCAAGCGCGCCGCCTGCCCCGCCAGCCGCCACAAGCCCAATCGTACCCGCTGCGACAAAGAGCTCGTCTGCTACATGGGAGTACGTAGCAACATCTTTGTCTTATAAATATACAAGAGAATTTATTTCTTTATTATTTGTTCAGACACGTCATCGTCATGAAATTTGCTATATGCACATAATCACGTAGTAACTTGTGTAGTAAGATTTAGAATGGAGATACAAAATAATAAACGTAACCTAAATACAAGTATAAAAATATGAGTTCTTTTTTATTTGTATTTTGGCTACTTTGTATTCCAATTTATTGACTGACATTCTGATCACAGGCACGAAATCACGAGCGTAAATTTAGTAATTGTAACATCTAAATTGAAGTGTTTGTTTTTATTGTAATAAATATAATTTAATAAATATAATATAAAAATCTTTAAGAGAGTTTATATCGAAAGTAATCAAAGTGTGACGACGTTGTAATCATCTATCAATTTACATAAACAATTGAGAAGAATATTTAATATTGTAATATATAAGATAATTTAAAAAATATTCTTATAGCGAATAAATTCATTATATAGGCATCTTATAGTCGAATATCACGATGGCTGGCCCATCCGTCATACTCGTGAACGGGTGTTCACGAGTGTATATATATATATATATATATATATATATATTCTTATATATATATATACTTGTGAACGAGTATATATATTAGAGTATATAGATTAGAGTATATATGTATTCTTATATATAGTAAGAACTGGTCTGTTCAAGAATACTGTGATTGATTGTAGCTTTGTAATTTTTTTTATTTTCTTTTTATCAATATGAAGTTTGTTGTCCATTTATTCATTCACGTTTTTGACATAAACTTGTATTTGTTGAACAACAGCCAATAACGGGGTTTCTTGCCCGTTCTTCTCAGCTGAATTGCATTCCGAACTAGACGGTAGATTCATAAAAAATACTATTAAATACTTATCATTAAGTTTATTTTATTAATTATAGAATAAGTTCCACAGAAACAATTCAATATTTTACATTTACCTACTTCACACTTATTATAATTTTGAAAATTTCCAAACACTTTTATGTCATTAGAATTCAAATTTTCGAATATTTCATAACAATCTTATTGCATTGTTAACATATTATTTCGCCATTTCTATTAAAACAAATCAAAAATATAAAAAATTAGTTAATTGTTTTCGAAAATTGACAATATAACTCTAATGTTACCTTTTTTCGGTTAGGTTAATATCAGCAATAAAGTAAGTAATAAATAAATAAATTGCAGGAGTGTACCGGCTCGATATGCCTGGCGTACGGGCTGGAGTCGTGCCAGTGCGCGCCGCGCAAGGACGACGCGCGCGCCGCGTGCGAGCTGTGCTGCCGCAAGCCGGCCGGGCCCTGCCTCTCCTCCTTCCAGTGGAACACGCCGCCCTACGACGTGCCCGACATGTACGCCAAGCCCGGCACCCCGTGCAACGACTATAACGGGTGACATATTTGCATTTTTGTATAACTTCCAAATGATTTTTTTTTAATGAATGACCTGCGCTAATGGTATACGCTGGCAGGGCACCAATGAGTGATGATAGGGAACAAGGTATATTGCTAGCAATGGGACTGATAGTCCGCATTACTATTACCTTTTCCCCTTCAAATGAAGTTGTAAGCTAGAAATAACATACCTAGAAAGTTCATATTAAATTCCCGTTTCCCAGACAGAAAACAATTTTTAGTAATAAGATCTCATACAAATTTCTCGTCTATTTTTTATGTTTTTTTTTTTGGTAGTTACTCAGAATGACAAGCAAATATCACCTTTATTACGAGCAGACTAAAATACTTGGATGTATCGTTATTAGATTGTGTCAGTTGTTTCTTTACTACCACCACTAGGTGTCTTATTAATTTTAAGGCACGAGTATTGTCCAACCAGTCTTATGTCATGAATGAATATAATATTCAATGGAACATAATGAAAATGTAAACAATCGAGTAATTGATCCGAGTATAAGACAATCTGCTGATCCTCAATAATCGTTAGTACAAATAGAATACCCATGAATTGATTTGATTTGTTGTTCATTTTTAGAGTGTTTCTTGTAGTATATATATATTCCTAAGGTTGGCAACATATATAATTAAGTAAGTGTCATGGCGTCCTTCAATAAAAGTGTGCATTCATTTCAAGCAGTTTTTTTTCTTTATTATATAAAGGCAAGTTATTTAAGCGTGCAAAGTACATCAAATGTTTTACAACATTATAAAATGGCGACGAAGTAAAAGTATTTATAATTCGCAAGTGCTATTTTTCATTTTTGTAATTTGTTTAAAAGTTACAAATTACAACCGACATGGCGTCAAATATTTCTTTTAAACCCTTTCAAGAAGGAGATGATATTAACTGTTTTTTGGAAAGGATGGAACAGCATTTTACTGCAAACCAAATAAATGAAGCAAGACAGCTACCAACCCTGTTAATTTCCTTACATCAAGATGTATACAAAATTTTGAAAAGCATGGTGCATCCATCTTTACCGAAAGAAAAATCATACAGGGAAATTGAAGAAGTTTTAAAATTAAGGTTTCAGCCAAGAGTTGCCCATTTCAGAAAAAGAATAAAGTTTTACAATTTACGGCAGGCGGAGGGTGAGTCATCATCCAAGTGGTTTGCTCGTGTCAAAGAAGCGGCAACAGAGTGCAATTTTGGAAGAGGAATAGAAGAGTATGTCAAGGACAAATTTATTACGGGAATGTTACCAGGGCCGGTACAAGATAGATTATGTGAAGAGCCTGTAACAAAGGATACTCAAGATTTATTGGAGATAGCTTTAAATAAGGAATCATCATTTCAACAAAGTGATTTAGTGTCAGTGAATAAAATTTCAAATAAATTTAATAGTAAACAATCTAGTGCACAGGTAAAAATAAAAACATTTAATAAACAGGAATGTGACAAGAGTCCCCAAGGTAATATTTTAAAATGTGTTCATTGTGGAAAACCTAATCATTCATTTGCTAGATGTAAATATAAGTCTTATAAATGTAAAATTTGTAATAAAATAGGACATTTAGCATTAGTGTGTAAAAATAAGCCTACAAATAATATAAATATTGAAAATAATTCAGTGGATATATTTACAGTAAAACATGAGTCACACATTAATTATATTTCTCCTTTTATGATAAAATGTTATGTAAATTCAATACCATTAGATATGGAATTGGATACAGGAGCGACTGTTTCTTGCATTCCTTATAAGATTTATAAAGAAAAATTTTGTAATGTTAAATTAAACCATACTGCATTGGAATTAAAAACATATAGTGGTCAATTGGTGAAGCCAAGTGGTGAAATTTCAGTTAATTTAAAATTAAATGGAAAAGAAGTTCATTGTTCTTTGTTAGTAGTGGAAAATGGATGTAGAAATTTATTTGGTAGAGATTTAATGAATCTTTTTGATATGGACATGAAAGAGTTAATAGGTTTGAATTCTGTAAACGTTTCAAATTTAGAAAGCATTTTGCAAGAGTATTCAGATGTTTTTAAAAATGAATTAGGTGTTATTAAGGGTGAAGAGATTTGTCTAGAATTAAAAGAAAACACTAAGCCGATTTTTATGAAACCTAGACCCATTCCATTTTCATTTAAGGAAAAGGTAGATCAGGAGTTGACAAAATTAGAAAAAGAAGGTGTTATTTCCAAGGTGGATAATTCTGATTGGGGTACACCTTTAGTTCCAGTTATCAAAGAGAATGGTCAATTAAGGTTATGTGCTAATTATAAAATTACTGTTAATAAATATTTGAAAGAGTTTAATCACCCAATACCTAGAATTGAGGATATATTTACAGCTTTACAAGGAGGTGAAAAGTTCAGTAGATTGGATTTAAGAAATGCTTTTAATCATTTGATATTAAACAAAGCCACAGGGAAGTTGTTAGCTTGGTCCACACCAAGAGGTATATATAAATTACATAGATTGCCCTATGGTACTAAACCAGCTAGTGCTATATTTCAAGCAAAACTTGAAAAGATTTTGTTAGGAGCCAAAGGAGTAGTAAATTTCATTGATGATGTAGTAGTCACTGGAAATAATGACCTTGAGCACCTTCAAAATTTAAAGGAAGTTTTAAAACGCTTTAAAGAGGCAGGTATTAGGCTCAATAAAGATAAATGTACTTTCTTTCAAAAGGACATTAAATATTTAGGTCATATTATTTCTGAAAAGGGATTATCTAAAGATATGTCAAAAGTGAACTCTATAATTAAGGCACCTGCACCTACAAATGTTTCAGAAGCTCGTGCATGGTTAGGGATGGTTAATTATTATGGTAAATTCATCAAAAATTTATCTATTAAATTAAAGCCTATATATAATTTATTACAGAAAAATATTAAATTTAATTGGACAAAAGAATGTCAAAAAAGTTTTGATACAATTAAGAAAGATATTATTTCAGATAATGTGTTAATTAATTATAGTAGAGATTTACCTTTGCGTTTAGCTTGTGATGCTTCACAAAATGGAATAGGAGCAGTTTTAAGTCATATTTTGCCAGACGGGACAGAAAGACCCATCAGTTTTATTTCCAGAGTTTATACTAAAGCGGAGATAGGTTACTCCATGATTCATAAAGAAGCTTTAGCAATTTATTGGGCTGTTCAGAAATTATATCAGTATTTAATAGGTAGAAAGTTTGAATTATTATCTGATCATAAACCATTATTGGCATTGTTTGGTGAACATAAAAGCTTACCACAAATGGCAGCAGGGCGTCTGCAACGATGGTCATTGTATTTGTCAAGTTTTGATTATACATTTAAACATATTAAAGGTATTGAAAATGTTAAAGCTGATTGTATGTCAAGATTGCCATTACAGTCAACAGTGTTAAACAGTAATAATCAAGAATGTGATTATATTAATTTTATTGAAGATCAGAATATTATAGATATAAATTTAATTCGATCTGAAACTAGAAAGGATCCAATTTTAAGTAGTGTTTACAACATGATAAGGTATGGATTTCCTAAACATATGAAAAATGAAGCTTTTAAACCATTTATTAACCGTAAAAGTGAATTATATATTGAGAGTGGAGTTATTATGTGGGGATATCGCATAGTAATACCTAAGAAATTACAGAATAATTTATTAAAGGAGCTTCATGTTTCACATGAGGGCATTGTTAAAATGAAGAACAATGCAAGGTCTTATTTTTGGTTTCCAAATTTAGATAATAGTATTGAAAATTTTGTTAAGTCTTGTCAAGTTTGTATGTCTGCAAGACCAGAACCTCAAAAGTCTAAAATTATTTCATGGCCTAGAACTAATTTTCCATATGAAAGAGTACATGCTGATTTCCTAGGACCTATAAAGGGTAAAATGATATTATTAATTGTAGATTGTTATACTAAGTGGCCAGAGGCATTTATTATGAAAAATTTAGATTGTAATACAACTGTAGAAAAATTTCTGTGAATGTTTTAGTAGATTTGGTTTACCGAAAGTAGTAGTAACAGATAATGCAGCTACATTTTGTTCTAAAGAATTTTCTGAATTTCTTTTTAAAAATGGGATTCAACATGAGACATCACCACCCTTTCATCCAGCTTATAATGGCTTTGCAGAAAATGCAGTAAAGAATTTTAAGAATTCTATGTACAAGTCATTAAGTGATGTCAAGAATAGAAATGTGTCTTTTGAAACTTTAATGTGTAGATATCTTTTTCATTATAGAAATTCAATACATTGTTTTACTAATGTTTCACCAGCTGAAGCTATGTTTAATAGAAAACTTAGATCCAGATTAGATTTATTATCTACTAAAAAGGAAATAAACCAGAAAATAACAGTAGGGAAAAGAGAGGAAAAATTTAAAGAGGGAGATTATGTTTATTGTAGAGATTATAGAAATCCTAATAAGAAGAAATTTGTTAAGTGTATAATTGATGAAGTTTTGGGTCAAAGAACATATTTATGTAAAGTTTTAGAGGAGAATTTAATTTGGAAACGTCATTTGGACCAAATAATACGTTCTTTGTCTCAGAATCAGAAGGAACATGTAAGTGAAACTGGTAAAAATATATTAAATGATAATGTGATTAATGATTCTCATGAATCTATTTACAATAATTATGATAAAAATGGTAATGATAATTCAGACACAATTGTAATTGATCCAGTTTCAGAGGTAACAGATAACATTTGTAATAATAGTAATATAGCCTCTGAAATTGTTACTAATCAAAATGAAGAAGTAGCTTGTGCTAGTAATTCTTTTGAAAGTTCTCATTCAAGTCAAATATTGAGGCGTTCTGAAAGACAGAGGCGAGCACCTCAACGTTTGAACTTGTAAAGGGAGAGTATTGTAGTATATTGGAAATTATTGTTCCTAAGGTTGGCAACATTGGAAAATGTAATTAAGTAAGTGTCATGGCGTCCTTCAATAAAAGTGTGCATTCATTTCAAGCAGTTTTTTTTTTTATTATTATAAAGGCAAGTTATTTAAGCGTGCAAAGTACATCAAATGTTTTACAACATTATATTTCTACAATAATTTTAATAAATCTTAGTTATTTTTTCCCTAAGTTCGATTGAAACCGACTATATTTATTTTATTGAAACTGTAGTTACTGCGACGTGTTCCAACGATGCCGCGAGGTGGACCCGTCTGGGCCGCTGGCGACTTTGCGCAAGCTGCTACTATCTGACGAGAGTATCGCCGGCTTCAAGCGCTGGATGCTGAGACACTGGTATGCGGTGCTGATCATACTGCTCGCCGTCATTGTATTACTGGTAAGTTTATAACGTTATGTACCATTAGCCTTATGTACTGTAACTAATAACATTGTAGCAATTTTAGAGTGAAATGTATTTATAATCTGTGGTAACTGTTCTTTGCTGAAAAAAGGCCTTTCACATAAAGTGGAATTATGCCAGTAGGTGCCACGCTTGACAGGCGGGTTGGCAACCGTAGTTAAGCGTTTAGTGATGTTTAAGAAAGACGCTGCTGCCCATCCCTTGACGATTAAGTTTCCTTAGTCGCTTCCTTAGTGGTAAAAGGTGTCTTATTCTTTGCCGAGACCACAGAACAAAGTATTTATACGGAGTGTTAGTTTAAAGGGATATACTCGTATTTACCTCACAGTCAAAGTTGATCTGTCTTCACACCAGAGCCTATTTTAGTACAGGCAGCAAAGCAAAATGCATGAAATTAAATAATGCATCTAATAAAATTGTATTAGTCAAAATATATCATATTTATAAATATTTATAATTAAGCTAATTAAATTACAAAATTATTTATAATTAGCTAACTCGCCAAACGTATCGTAATAACAACGATCCTATCTCTTAAGTTGAAACAAACAATATACATTTACAAAATTTAAAATTTGTTGAAGGGTTTTGAAGATTAGCTTGAACAAATATCGTGTCATGTTTTGATTGATTTTTATATATTAAAGATAACTAAATATCAAATGATAGATAGATACTCTTTATTGTTTCCTTCAAAAGATTAATAATAAACTTATTATAGATACAAACAAAAATATATGTAGATGAAATATATTTCAAAATAAATCTGTCTTATTTTTCTTTTTTTTTCTGTAGCGATGCTGCATAATTCTTGATCCAGCAATTGAAATTGACACTAAAAATTAGTGTTATTAATAATTAATCAATTTTATAAGGTAACCACGAACAATAATGAGAGTAACGCTAAAGAATTGTATATTTTTCTAGAAAAGCTTGTTCGTCAACATGCCTCTTGTAGTTAAGTAGAGTATAGTAGGTGTATAATGCTAGTTTTATATCTCCAAGGAAAAAGATACAGAAAGTAATTTGTAGATAAATTATTTTATATTTGTAAACTCCTACGATCACTTTATGTCTCTCTCGAATTGATCTCACTTTTCTTTGTTACTCAAATACCTACATCTGTTATTAAAGGTAATTTGGGTAGGTTTTAGCTAATTTGTGGATTGTTTGGGTAGAATATTTCACAGCATATCTTCTATAATAGACAGTTGGAAACTACACACTAAAATAATTGTTGCTAAATATGTAATATTAAAATATATAAAATTTCTAATATTTCAGTTTACAAGCACCCGCTTCCTGGGCCGACATGGTAAAAAATTGAAGTCTGTGACCATCATACACTCATCCACAACTGAAACCGTCCGTCTGCCCGATACTAACGACCAGGGACTGATCGTGCATACAGCTGTTAGGTAAGAACACATATAAAGCATTTTAAGAAAGAATATACTCTTTTCTTGACAGTTTGACATTGACTTGTATGGATATTATGAATAGAGGAGGAGCGCGATACTAAAAGAATAATTAGAAATGGATGAGCTTCAAGAAAAGGGAAACATCGAAAATAGACCTGTAAAAGATACTGAAAGACGATGTGAATTTCTATGGTACAACTAGTTAGACGACTATAATAATATGATCACAAAAATGTTCTCTGTCACCCCCAAAATATGGAAAATTGTGAAAAGAATGATGATTCTACTTCTTTTTATTTGTATTGAATGCATGTAATAAAATTATATGTATACTTATTACAGATCAAAATTACCTCTTAAGAAAAAAGTTGCATTGCGTACGAGGGCTTATCGCAACAAGAAGGATCTCAAGAAGCAGGGAGACAAAGCATCGCCCTCTCATAACGCTAATAAAAAGAGGGTAAGCAAATGTTTCAAATATATATATATATATATATATATATATATATATATATATATATATATATATATATATATATATATATATATATTTAATATTGTTATAACATTACAGAGTTCAATATATATTTATTGTTTTCTTTTTAGAAGCCAAGTGCACAACCTAAACCTGAAGAAAGTCATAAAGTCACAAAAGAAAACACAGCAATAGTTACGAACGCCGAAGGGAAATCTCCGAAACACGTTATTTTATCTAAACATAAAGGAAAAGTTAAAAAACGCAAAACAAAAATGAAGAAAGAAACAATCGACTATAGTTCTATGCAAAAACACCCCTCTTCGCCCACTAAAGATACTGAGGCTTTAACGAAAGTACAGAAATGGCTTTTGAGTACACCGCAGCCCAATGTTATTCCTAAATCTAAATCAATTCCGTTAGGCCTCACAGAAAGAGCTCACACAAATAGGCAAGTTCAAAAAGGCACACGAAAAACTAGACCGTCCAAGAGTGCAACCAATCTTCTTTCTGGAGAAAAAGCCCGACTTCAAGTTGTATTTAAACCACCATTCAGATTTAGTGTCAAAATATGCAAAAGTGATAAAACAAAAATAGTTCTAGACAAATCATCTAAACCTGACGTAGACAGGAAGCGTCATGAAGTTCAGCCACAGCAAACTTGTGCTACTGACCTCTCGAAATCGAATCCATCCAACAATAAAACGCCGAAGCATTCGAATTCCACGAGAAATGCAGAAAATATTCCCAGTGTCCCTAAAATAGAAAAAACACAAAAACAAGAAAATGTAGATCATGGTTATGCCAATTTGTTACCTAGAAGTGCCAGTGATTGTAAATTAATGAAAAAAATATCCGATACGAAAATTCGTAGTGGGCACAAAAAGAGCAACTCCGTAGGACAAAAGAATGAAACGACAGAAAGTCGTCAGAATCTCATATCACATGAGGACATGGACAACGCTCATGTGTACGAGAATATACTCTTGTCCCAAGACGCGTTTGTTCCAAAGAGCTGTAGCATGCCGCGACGACAGACGAGCGTTGGAATATCGCGACAGAGCAGCTACGGCCACCTACCTCGCGCCCAAATCCGCCCACATAGACATAGTACAAACAACTTGAGCCGGTCTAGAAATAACAGCAATAGTGAGCTCGACCACTTCTATAGCGTTATAGAATCGTTACGAAAAAATAATACGAATGACGTAAACAAATGTAACACTAATTCGAGCAGTTCCTCGGGCAGTAGTCGCCACGAAGGAATACTGCTGAAGGGCGGGTCTAGTTCTCGCCCGGTGGCTCAAGGGAGCAGAACGCGACAGAATAGTCTAGTCGATAAACCGTCACGTTCTAGTCCTATCGAAGCCAATAACAAATTAAAAAGGCAATTAAGCGAAAAAGAACTGGGTCAATCGCCTGTTGACGGTGGAGTAAGGGGCTTCCAGTTGGTTGTAGGAAAAGACAAACTGAAGCGACAACTGAGTGACAATGAGTTGTGTAAATCTCGTGTACATATGGCTATGCCGATGTCCGCTGGCGCTGAGCCGCGTCAGCCGTTCTGTTGGAATAAACGTGCAAGTTTGGACTGCGAGGCTTCCTTGCCTGCAGCACCGCGCGTCAGCAACTCGCGAGCTAGTAAGAATCGAACTACGTACACGTTCGGCGAACTCAAGAACACCGTCCCCAACGCCTCCGACTCGCCGCCGGGCGACGAACTCATCTCCCCGGAAGAGTTCTTGAACATTATCGATAATTAAAACATTCCAATTGTATGGTAACTTGATGCTGTAAAGTTATTAATATGAACAATGATTATGTGTATAATAGGTATCCGCAACGTGTAACATGTCGGCTCGTGTAAATATTGTAATTTGCTTTTAATATTAGAATATAACCAGCCACTGAAACAGGCCATTGCCCAGTCTTTAAATACATAATAATAGCTATAATAAGATGTAAGTATTAAAATCTCAAGTCTTATGAATTGTATCTAATCGTGTAATAATTTAGTTGGATATTTTTTTTTCTACGAACGTGTACAGATTAGTTACAAAATAGGATATTTTACGAAACTAAGTCTCGATATCGCACAATCATATCCTGGTCTCTATTTTCCTGAAGTAATGTTCGTAAGGAAAGTATTTAACAACATAACAAATCGTCATAGGTTAATTTTCGTATAATGAGAAGATCACGAGATGTGGCAGCGACAGACAGGGACTGGCAATGGTCTAGTTTCACTGAACGATCTCTATAAATGAATCTCTATTTTTTCTACATGCTATGTATTGTACAAATTTACTCATACCTGTGTAAAGTGTTCATATAATATTATGTTAATACTTTACCCCATCGATATGTATAGTGAAGGAAACCACCAGCTCCTAATACATGGAAAATAAATAGTCCTAGATGTAAATTACAGAAATACCAACTCAAAATTGGAATTTTTTCTGTTAATGAGAATATAATATTAAAGTATTTCTGACTTTATTATAATAGTCCATAAAATATAATGGTCCAAATAATATCAAACCGAAATTTTAATTATAAAGATGCTGCTTCAGAATTGATTTCATTCGAATATGTGTATATGTTTCAAGAGATTTTAGCAATTACTTTGCTTATATCTTCAATTTACATATCGATGGTTTTTATTATTTCATTCCATTATTTCTATTGAAAATACATACTAACATATTTTTTTAATTTTATAGTTTATCGTTTATTTAAATGATTGTCAATTAAAAAGTCAATCAGTTGTTGAACAAAAGTACACCAAACTAAGAGAAAAGTCAAGTAACATTATTAATTATGTATAGTTCATTATATGATTCCAACTTTAGACGGTAATGAATTTTTTTTTAAACAACTATTGTCGCAGTAAAGCAAACAGTTCGCCTTATGTTAAATGGTCAACCATAGCCTATGAACATCTGCAATATCAAGTTGTCTCATGTGCATTAATATATTGACTTCATAGCCAACTTGAACTAACTTTATTTTTAGATCACTGAACTGAGTAGTCAATTTATGGCATTAAAAATGTTGCGTCATTGCAGTAAACACATTTATACCTACTGTAAATAAAATTAAAATAAGCTTATGTCTGATAATTAATAGAACTTATTACTTCTAGCTAAGGTACTTAGGTACATGCGAGAATTTTATTAAGGTAACCTACTCATGCTACTCAAAAATTTGGAATCCTATATAAACTATACATAAGTTCAAAACAATGAATAATATTAAAAATACTGTTTTATCAATAAATATTTTTCTATAAAATATTGGATTTAACATGAACTAACATACCTACTTACAATAAAATTACATAGTTACATAACACATTTTGTATTTAAATTGAATACTAATTTTGTCAAGTAATTTATGTTCTGCAATATCTGGGATAGAGTTTTCGTTATTGAATTTATTAGTATGACAATATAGTAGTGCATAATAGTAATAATTACCAATAAACTAATTGTTAATACGCTGTCTAGGTGTTAGGTACAAAATGAAATATGAATTTATATTATGTTCCCGCCTAAAATTGTCTTTGTGATACATTTTTATTTAAAAAAAAAAAGAAATATTTTTCTATGGTTTCACAAATATTAATTCCAAAGGGGCATACCTACCTATTTGTTATCATAAAAAAAAAAAATATAACACCAGATTTTTCTGTCTCAGATATTAAAAGGAATGTGTTCCAGTATTTTATGAGTCGTGCGAATATATCGCGAAAGCTTTCCGGCTGTGGCACAGCGTTTATGAGCTTTGTCGTAGGGAGGTAAGGGTAAAAATATAAAAGCTATTGTATAGAAACTCATTTCTAAAACAATACTAAAAGTATTGGAGGTGTTACAAATTTGTATTATCTGAGGAATATCTACCTACCAATTTGATAAATTTAATTAAAATTGTAGGTAGATGTTATCTCACATCTACTTACTACAATTATGTTTGACGTAGGTCTATTAAAATTCTTCCTTACTATATCTAATTAAATACGTGTTATTTGTGTATTTCAAAATAAATGTGATTAGATTCTATCTATTGAACTATAAAATGGTTTCGTAGTTTATGAAGTATTAATTATATAAGATTTTACAGGATGTTTGATAGGATCTCTCCAAATGAATCTTAGTTCTACAACACTATAAATTTTTTCAATACTAATTGTAAACTCCGACTATGATCTCACTGTATTAGTTCCAAGTGCCTTATCAACAAATTACATTCCCTTCTACATTCCAAAACTAAAATATAATTTATAATATTAATAAATTCGTTTGGTGTCTTGTAATTAGGCATTATTCTTTATTTATTATTTTTTAACGCTTTGATTAATTTGACATGATAGTGATGAATATCGTACCTATGTATACATCAATTGCAGAAACACCATTCCTCTGTACTTAATTAGTCTGTGATAGAATATGTTTTTACAGTATACAGTATTTGTTATTTTTTATTCATGAAATTATCCTATTTTAAGTATTCTACTTTTCTGTTACTCTAATAATATGAATACAAATTTGTAATAAATTCATTTTCTAACAATTTACTATGTTTTTTCTGAATTTTTTAATAATTAAAATATTCCAAAAAATATTACCTAATTTTATTTTTCAGCAATACATCTCATCCTATTTTAATAAAAGATATAAATTAAACAAATTTTGAAAAGTAATTTCAATTTTTTTTTCGTCAATTATTTAAATAAGTGGTTCGAACTCATTTGACTTTTAAAAAGAATTCAGTAAATTAAATTTCATCATTCATTTGTTTAGGCCGTCCGACATATGTGAACTTGTCATGCTTCATTTGCTTGAACGTGTTACGTGCAACGATAATTTACATATATTTTATGGATAATATTACCTGGAATGGCCCCAATACGTTACAGTCTCCATTACGAGGATTATTCCGAGCATTTGATGTCTAGATTTGGAAAACTATTGCAAATGCAGTCACTGGTGGATATGACACTGATGTGTAGTTCACACACTCTACGTGTTCATAAAGCTGTCCTCGCTGCAAGTAGTGCTTACTTCCAGGTAATTATCTCAAAACACAATATTAAAACAAACAATATAATAAATATTGTTTATTTTTAAATAAAACATTTTAATATGTCGTTAACATGTTCGCCATTTTCATCAGGAAGTACTGCAAAAACAAACTGGAGAGCCATTAATCATTTTGAAAATGCGCTTTAGTGTATTAAAGTGTCTGGTCGAATTTATGTATTGTGGCAAAACCCAGTGCTTAGAGGAGAATTTAGACGAGTTAGTTTCTGCAGCACAATTTCTGAAAATCAAAGGCCTTTCGAAAGTGACGAAGGAAGGTCTTGGTATAACAAGCACTGGTTAGTAATAACTACAATAATAACTATTGATAATTGAAATTAAAGAGGTGATATTACGTACTCATGTGAATTACAAAAAAATAGATGAATTGGCAAATGTTTTTATCGTTTTCTAGTATTAGTTTTTTTTTAAATGGGTGATAATGGATAATACCCCGCCTGCGCTGTAAGTATATGCTGGCGGGCACCAGTAATGGATGATAGATGACAATGAAAGCAGGTCAGTTAGCCTATCGTGATGAATTCCATTAGAATTAACCACGATGGTTTCCAGGGGGAACCGCGTGGAGGTCGACCTAATAGGGTGTATTTTACTAAAAATCCCTCCCCTCCCTCCACTTTCTAGTATTAGTTGGTAATAAAATTCTATATAAACTCTGTGAACCGATGTTTTTTTTATATCTTATAAAACAAAAGAAACAATCGATTCATATCAAAAAGTTTGTAACTCATTGATTTGCTGGTTAAATACTTAAACATACTTAAACTTAAACTACCTAAAATGACTATAGCCGTATCCTCCTTACCTATTGCCTTTTATCTGTATAATAAATATTTGATTCATTAATTAGATTAGTTAAATCAATATAAATAATTTATTACGGCGTACAAATATAAACAAAACTAGTACCTAAGTAATGGAAGAAATATGAACTTAAAATTTTTTAACAAAACAAATATTTCTATGTTATTCAAAATTACTGGTGGTTTTTATTTTTATTTTAGATGAACTGCCAGTTTTTACTCCGCCAGTAGTCATAAACAGACCTCCACAGTCATTTATTGATTTACATACACAAGTGAGTAATATTTATTCAATTGCTTAAATCATCTGTCTTAATAGGTTGCTTTGAAATTGTGATTAAATTAAAATGCTCCCGTATTCAGGCAATATCTCAGTTAAATTTCTAATAACTAATGTGAATCATACTGAATTCGTCAATTAAACTACCTACCGTTTAACCTACTGTTATATACCTACATCATATATCACGCACCTATTTAACTTTGGCGCATGCCAAAGAAGTCCACAAGAATATATGATTAAAACCGATATAAATAATAAAAAAAAATTCAATCCTCTAGAATGCCTGTATATATACGTCACAACATTTTCAGCGATATCCATGTTTTTGAAGTCTATAAAGTTGTCAGTATCCTTGGGGTGGGCTGTTATCTTTATTGTTCAACACATTTTCATAAAAAAATATATAAATTTATTGAAACACTGGCTGTTTGTCTACGTGTATCAATATATGAAATAGATATTCTGTTTTTAAATTATGATATTGCTACCCGTTACCAAATATAATTCAAATCTATTCAGCCATTTAAGTATGATAACAACATTAAAAAAACAAGGATTAGGAATTAGGAAAATCGATATGTATCTTGGTACATATGTGGTTTCTGAACATATTTTTATTGTATAAGGACATCGACCCGAAACCACCACCGCCAATACCATCAACGACGAGTACGAACCAATCCGTAGACTCCTTGGGACGCACTAACAAGGTAATAAATTAATCTGCTTGCTCTCTTTAAAATTCACTAATTTTCGAAACAGATGATTATAATAATTGTGATGTACATAAAGTTCTATACTTTTTGTACTTAATTTTTATTTGTACCCTATCTCATTGCTGCTCGGTTCTAGAAAAATGTGGTCACAAGCCCTTAAAATTTTGCCTCCCTCTATGTGTTTTGTGATACCTACAGAGTCGCCATTTGTCTATCATCATATCTCTCGCCATCAACTGAGTTAGAATGTCGCCGCCAAATTTCTGCGTTCCAAAAGAATTTCCTCTTGCGAACATTAGTCACACTAACACACTACTACATAGCTTTTTATCGTAATTTTGTTTCCCAAAAGCGCAGCGGGGGTTTTTACAATTGTCGCAAATTCGCAATGTAATATCTAAAAGCGGCAGTATGTAAAGCTGTGATTTACACCTCCAATTTTTACAATTATTTACTCGATTATTGAACCTTTTAGGATATGGTGGTGCGTATCCCGTTTGATATCGAAAATGGGAACAGTGGATCATCTGGGATGGACTACACAGAGGGACTAAGAGCTATCAAACCAAGGCGTGGGCGGCCTAGCGTAAGGGTCAGTTTACAATAAAATAAAAAGCTTTTTATAAGACGGCGTAAACAAATGAGTCAAGTTCGCTAATACAATAGTATAATTGTTCTGATGAAATGGTTTTTTTATGGGTGATAATGGAATAGTAATAATAATACCCGCGCTAACGGTATACACCAGGTGAGGATGAATCAGGTCAGTTAGCCCATCGAGATGAATTAAACAAGAATTGTTCACGATGGTTTCCAGGGGGAACCACGTGGAGGTCGACTTCCCTTTCCCTTTCCCCCTGATGAAATGGTTCTAGTTCACCATACCATATCATTTCACCAGAAAATCTTATTCTCTTCATCAGAGAATCTTATTTCCAATACGACCCCACCGAGCCATGTCACGCGATTCTCAATTATCTAAAGCTACTTAAATTACGCGCTACTAACGTAATTTTTAATTTTTAAACTAATTGCCTATATGGTATCGATATTTCCATGGATGTAGAATTATACTGAAACTTTTCTATTTTGTGCGTGTTATTACAGAAATTTAGGCATTCCATCTTTGTACTCGGTAATCTCACTTTCCTTTAAAGAAACACCATAAGCTTACGTATACTTAGTTCTATTTTTAGCAACGATCAGGTTGGGATAACTCTGGAGTATTGGGACGGGCCGCCGAACGTGCTCTTCTTCGTCGAGAGCAAGATTCTCGAAAGGCCATACATCAGCTCAAACATTTGCAAAGTAGACATATGCAGGTGAATTATACATTTGTAGTTTTTAGAATTCTTGTCGTTAAAACATATAACATCTCTATTACTAGTAGAAAATTGTAGATACACTTGGTTAATCGACCATTTTTTTGTAATTATTCCAGATACCCTAGATAAAAACGTTTTAAAACTCAAACATGCAAAATTTTAATTATTTTATAAAATTGCCCAATAATTAGTAAATTTAAGGCTGTTATTAGAACATTAAAATGTAAGCAAGCCAAACGATCAAATTGCTTCCGAATGCGTACGCTTCATCAGAGATTACAGTCGTGAGAATATTTTACAAACTTATAAATTTGAAATTTAATATAATTTCAGGATTACATGGATAGAGTGACATTGTCACAAGCGGTTAATAGCATTTGTGGTCCCGAAACATCAACATCACAGAACTACATGGTTATCGACAATGATCTTATAAATATGGATCAAGCGGTTTCTTCGAATGCCCTCGACCCCTCTATTGGATATAGTAAAGATAATATGGTAACTAACTCAATAACTTCAAGTTACTCAACAACACCCATTTGTAACTCTATAAATGATACTACCAACAGCGGTATTAGCACTGCTATGTCGCAGTATGTTAATGCACTGAAAAATGCTGGGTTACCTACAGATCTACCAATTTTGTTTGAATCTGGAGACGGATCGTACATTAATGTTAATGAACAAGTGCTTCTAGATATGGTTCAGAGTAGTGAGATACAATATGAGGTGATAGAACAACCAAATATAATAGAAAAAGTTGCGGATCCGAGTGAAATCAAAAGCATTGACGATCTCTCTAAATCCATAGAAAGAGGAGAAATGCTTTTAGGTTCAAAATTTCATGCTTCTACAACTAGAACTCCTAAAGATACAGACCAATTTAGTCAAGAAGACGCCATTAATAGCTTGAATGCTATTTTACCTGATAATTTAGAATCATTTACTGAACAACAAAATTATGTTGTTATGGATCCTCGTTTGCAGGACAATAATAGCTCTATAGAAACTGTCAATACGCCCGATTTTTCATGTATTGATGGGGACATGCAATTTTTTACCAAGTCAATGAGCGACGATATAAAAAAATATTATGAAGAGCAACAACTAAATGACACGAGAGATACGGAGCAATTATGCCCTACAAGTGCTAGCTTAGATAGCAACTTCAATATGTCCTTATTAGATACAAAAACAACAGATTTGACCGACAATTTGAATCAACAGTATAATTCTGATTTAAGAAGAAATGTGGAGTGTTATGATTTTAGTTTGCAACTACCACAATCTACAGAATTTAAAGATGACGCATTAGACTGCTTAATATCTACACCGAAACAAACAGACGTCGACAATACAACTTTTGAAACGAATGATCAGCTGGATCAAACTGCACAGGAAAGAGATGAAATTATAAAAGATTTAATGAATATAGAAGAAAGTATAAGGTTGTCGCAAAATAATGTAAACAAAGTTAACGACGATTCTAATATTAAAGATTTCAATGACAGTTCTCTCAGTATGGAATTTGATACTGAAAATTTAAATACAACGAAAAGGAAAACAAATACAGACAGCACTGCTAGTGACTTAAACTGGCATATAGATATTGATAATAAGAGGTGTGAAAGAGATGTTGAAAATAACGATATGACTAATAATGTCAATCATGAAGATAGTGATACTTTGATGACTGTTGAAAACTCTGTAATTGATTTGACTGAATCTATGAACGACAATTCGGAACAGTGGGATAGTGTAGCAAATAAATCAGACAATGTAGAGGAAAAGGAAAATGAGCAACCAAATGCGAAAGACGATTGTAAAGCTTTGGAAAATGATATACCGTTCGCAGTGGGATTACTGCCTTTAAAACAAACACAGCCCGTAGAAGGTAATAGTCTACTGAAAAGAAAGAATTCGATCGATACAGAGTTATTCGACAAATTAGATACAAAGTGTTTAAAGCGTAAAGTTAAATATAAGAATTTGTAATGTCTATTTATTATTTTATTTGTTGATATTTGTTTTGTTATTATGGATAAATAGAATAAAATTTAGTTTTGTGTAATAAATTCTAAAACAAGTCTAAATTTCATATATGCACCTAATTCCTATTTTAAGCCAGTTACATACGTATTTTGTCGAAAAACCTCGAATGGTAAGAAAGCACTAGCTCTGATGTGGGAAAAATATGGGTTCAAACCTTGTCTACCGGGAGGAAAGGGATTGTTAGCAATGGAGTTCGACATTGCTAGCAATATGCCCTATCACGTCAACCTCCACGTGGTTCCCCCTGGAAACCATTGTGAACAATTCTTGCTAAAGTCGTCACGATGAGCTAACTGACCTGCTTCATCCTCATCTATCATCCCTTACTGGTGCCCCGCCGGTGTATACCAATAGCGCGGGTGGGGTTGCCATTCCATTATCACCCATTAAAAAAAACCTTGTCTACCTAAACATGTATCATTTTATATCTTATTCCACGAAATTTTCATAACAATTGCTAACAGTGCCATTTCGCAGTAACAGTTGTAATTTTATTTTGCAATTTAGATACCGTCATTTTTATGTTATCATTGGTTGTTAATAGTTTTTTAAGCAAAATCGCCAATCAAACATTATGAAAATATAAAAAAATAAAACATCTCTTGTCATTGTATTGATATATTTTATTAAAAACAGTTCTTTATGTAAAAAAAATTCAACATTTATAAGGCAATTTTACACAATATTTAGTCTGTTTACAATAACAATGGTTAGTGAAGTATATTGCTTTTGTACTATATACACACTGACTGAATATAGCTTATATACTATTTAGATCAAGAAAATGGCTCGGATTGGCGGTATTACACAATAATAACCTGAGATTCATCTTTTAACAAACCTAAAATGTTTGTGATATGGACTAACTCTAAGAGACTTTACACTATTTTGTTAAGTATTCAAATATACTTAAATTTATTCATTCTTAAATTACTTATTGTCAATAAAGACATAATAATAATAATATAAAAAATAGAAAAGTCTACATCTAAGTAGAATATCACTATAAATAAAAAATAAAGCCGCTTGTGCAATACATCATAAGCATCTCAAATATTTAAATATTAAATTTCTGGTCATCTAAAGAAGTTGTACATATATTAGTTGGTGGGTTATTACACTGCAGAAAATTAAAAAGAATAAACAATAATTAAATTATTGTTACTAGAAACAAAATGGCCGGACTACATCACAACCTAACATAGCGTTAAGAAATATACAGAAATGGAATGTAACATTTGTAAAGTGCTTATTAATCATAAATAAAAATAATATCTGTTAACTACAAGCTAATATAAAGAGACATCACGACAAGATCCAATCATAACAATATACAATGACTGACACAAAGACGGTTATTCCTATACCTAATCCCTTATGTCTACCTGCGGATCCTCTTACATAAAAACCATAGGCATCACTGTGGTAATCTCCCATTTGGAATGTGATAGCTGGGGAAGACATTCTGCCATCACCTCCATTAGAGTAGGCCAGTACGCGAAGGTTGTAAGTCTTGCCTGGTGTCAAACTTGTGACATAAGCCTCCAGCTTGTGTTCCACTGCCACAAGAGTGTCATTTGCAGTACTCATATCTTGGTCAATTTCCCATACCCTCACCTGAAACATTTCAATATTACATGACAAAATTGACAATTTTTAAATCTAATCAGAACAGTTCGTGAGAGTTGTACAAGATTTACGTTACTATTTTCATGTTGATCAGTTTTTCATAATACAAATAAGTTGGCGGCCCTCTTGAGAGAAAGTGGCAACCGCTTTTTTTTTTCAATGGATGATAATGGATTGTTAACCCCGCCTGCGGTAACGGTATATGCTGGCGGGGCACCAGTGACGAATGATAGGTGAGAATGGAAAGGCAGGTCAGTTAGCCTATCATGATGAATACACCTGGAATTCGATAGTTTCTAAGGGGAACAACGTGGAAGTCGACCTGACAGGATATATTGCTAGCAATGGGACAGGCAGTATGTTATTCTTAGTTTCTGAAGCCTTCCGCTAGAGGCGCAGTGAATTTATCAATAGAAAGTAATACAAATTACTACCGTTAACGCTAAGTAACGTAACGTAAATAATGTCTGTATTAATTTGCTTTCTTTGGACTTGAACACTTTGCTTTCTGAAGGAAGTTCTCAAGTATTAAATTTTGTCAATTCTGAGTCCGTTTTTTTAATAAAATTCCTGTGTAAACAAAACAAACAATTATACACAGCAAATGCGTAAATCAAACTAGAGCATTTACTAAAGTCTTTAGCATACAATACAATAGTATTTATGTGGTCCTTATTAATTGGCATGAGCCATATTGATCAATTGGTTCATGTGAAGATTGATTGATCAATTGGCTCTAATGCTGATCAATATTAAAATTTAAAATAATAATTCATTTATAATTATAAGTTTTTACAATAAAAATTTCAATGTGATATCAAATTGAAATTTTAATTTTAGGCAAAGGTTTAGAGATATGGCACCTCAAAATTGACCCTGTTGCCTTTGGCTTTTTTTCCAGCGAATTATTTCCTTACAAATACAACAATAGATAGAAAACGTCCACCCCATACAAATACTCATACATAGGTACGCATAAATGTCTCATTCAAAAGAAAGCAGTGGTCACTTTAAATCACTTAAAATTCAGTATTTAAGGGGCCTTTCATTAAATAATCGTAAAGCATGATCTTCTGTAGCAGTGATTCTCAACTTTTTTTTTATTGCGGCACATATTTAACGATTTCAAAATTTGGCGGCACACAAAGAAAAAGATAAAAATTATTTACTTACTACGACACACTGCATAAATAGTTTATGACAAAAATTTTAAATATTTGCAAAATTTGGCGGCACACTTTTAAAATTTAGCGGCACACAAAAGTGTCCAGATACTCCAATACAATTTTTTTTGCAATATTAATAAAGGAATTATCACAGTGTAAGTATGGAACCATTATGTTTGACATATGGATACATGAATTGTAGATATATGAAGATTTTCAAAAGTTTAAGGCTTTTATTTACCTTGTAACCAATGAGTGGTTCCTCTTCAGTAGTGGGCTGCACATACCGCCATACGACACGCACTGTGCTTGGGTTGACGGCCCAAACATTCACAGAGGCTGGGGGCTTCTGCGGCGCCTTACGGAAAGTCCGCTCCAGGTAGCGCTCGCTCTCAGGACCTTCTCCCGCTGAATTGAATGCCATTACCTGAAAAAAATATTTTGTTATACTTAACGTGTGATGATTTAATCGTTAAACATAGAAGTACTTCAATTATTAAACTTGCCTTTACAAAATAATAGGTATCCGGTTGTAATCCTACTATAAGAGCCCAGTTGCGCGTTGTTCTTGATAAGTAATAGATGCATTCTTCTTCTTTATTTGCTTGCTTCCAATACTTTAGTCGATGACCTATTAATTTGCCGCGGAGCCTATCGCGCGACTGGTCAATAGGATTCCAAGTTACGTTCAAAGCCGTCGAGTTGTAGGACAGTGCGTAAACTTGTTGTGGTGCCACTTGCGGCATATCCTCAGCAGAATATATCATGACGACGTCGCTTTCAGGTCCACTGCCCATGTCATTAATAGCTTGAACTTTAACTTCGTATGGTGTAAAGAAATAAGTCAATGATATATGAACAACATGCATTCCAACATTACCATATTCTTTGAGCAGTAAAGACTGAAATTCCACTTCTGCCCCTTTACGACGCCAGAATATTTTATAATGTATACCAGGTCCATTCTGAAGTTTTAATGGTAAGGGTGTCCAAGTGATTGTAAGATCACCAATCTTACCACCTCCGCCTCCAACGTTGGCTGGGGCTTGGAAGGGTTTGTCAGCTAAAGTTGAGAATTGTGGACTCGGTGCTGAAGGCTGACCTACTCCTAAAGCATTTACGGCTTGAACTCTAAACTCATATACTGACCATGGTAGAAGTGTTGCAGACACAGTCGCACGTTTACGTCCATTATTTCTGTCGATTTCGTTAACATTCGGAACATTATCACTAATCACAATCCATGTAGAATTCCATTGAGTGCGACCTGTGACAACATAACTTATGATTGGACGCCCATTTGAATTACTATCTGTCCATTCAAGTGACACTGATGAACGCTGAATGTTTAATATTTGTAAGCCTCCTGGAGGTCCAGGTGGTCCTTCTACACGTAATATTGTACGGGACGAAATTCGACCAATTGCCGACTTTACGACACATTCATATTCGCCAACATCGGAAAGACTTGCGTTGTAAATTGTAAGTTCACCTCCATCCATTTGAATTCGTTTATCAGCATAGAAGTCTGATGGATCTCTAATACGAATCCCGTTATGGTTCCACAAGAAAGCTGTGTCTAATATAGGATCAATATCAGCACTACAATGTAAAAAGACCGCTTGATTAACTTGACTTGTTATTCGAGGAGGAAGACGATCTATAAATCTTGGTGTCCGCAATATTATTAGTCGGCCGCGACTTTCATCTGTACCATACTGATTTTTAGCAACACAAGTGTAGACACCCTCGTCATCTCTCGAAAGCTGTCGTATTATTAGATTACCAGTTTCAGTTATAAATCTTTTCCCACCTGCTCCTATCACTATATTATCTTTTTTCCAGGTAAAAGTCGGTTTGGGTGCAGCTTCAGGATTGCATCTAAGTGTTACATTACCTCCTTCAGACCCATAAGTTTCCGATTCTAGAGGTCTTTTTTTAAATGACGGTTTCAAAGACAAAACTCGCAGTTGCCCTGTTGAAAACCTGGATCTTAACTGATTTTTTGCTTCACATTGGTACATACCTGGGTCTCTCTGAGGATCTAAATACTTAATTATTAATACATTATCTTGAATCACATAGCGGTCTCTATCTGCACTTTCTAGAGTATCCATGGAGAGCTTTTTTCCATTTTTCCACCAAGTATAGTTAACATCAGGAATGCCAAAGGCTTCACAATTCCAATGTAACTCACCCTTATTGTCAACATGTTTATCAGATAAAGGAATAGTAAAATTAGGTTCAGCTTGTACTTTTAAAATTACAGAGTTTTTTATGCGTGCCCTATCATTCTTGACATCACATATATATTCACCCTCATCTTCCACACTAACATTGGGTATTGTAATGACACGGTCAAAATTACTAAAGCTTGCTTTCCTTGGCATTGGACCATTCTTTCTAGTCCAATTATATGATGGCACAGGATATCCAAAAGAAACACACTCCAATCTGACCTCTTGGCCAACAGTAGGTGCTTCTGGAAATACTTTAGGGAAGTTATTTGGAAATTTAAGTTGCTGATAATCAGAATGTGGATAAACATAAAGAGGGAAGAATGGACCATTTCGGCCAATATCAGAAACTTTGCTCATAACATTGCAACTATAGTTACCTCGATCAATTGTCTCTAAGGCAGAAAAATAAAGGCCACCATCGTAAGAGACAAAGACTCGTTTATCTTCCTCAACAAGATTAGGGAAATAATCTCGAGCCCACAAAAAGTTTACTGAAGGATAGTAGGAAGGAGGATCACAAAACATTACCTTACCCCAGTATTGATTTCCACTTTCAATTGGTCTTTTTTGGTTAAATTCTCTAATGAACCCAAATGATAAACGAACAGACTCTGAGCGTATTGTACCATATTTGTTAGTAGCTGTACAGTGATATTTAGAATTATCTGTGTCTGCATCTAAATTAAAAATCATCAAAGTGCCACCACTAAGTATAAATCTAGTGTCAGTTAGAGGATTAATTTCAGTATAGACAGGGCTGTCTACTTGATAATCTTCTCTAAACCATTTGTATTCAGGAGCTGGATATCCCCCAGCAATACAAACCAACTGAACATGGTGATTTCTCATAGGATCACATATAGTGTCCACAGGTTCTGTAATAAAATAAGGACCTCTCGGTATCCTCTCGGGATCAAATGTATCCAAACCATAAGTAAAAGACCTCTCCTCCTCGAGCAGATATCGCAACCTCTGTGTTTGTCCTTCACAAATAAAATGAGTATATGCAATACCATCCACAGCTGATAAACCCCAGCGTTGATCTTGTTTTGAAAAATGATACACTAAATAATCTCGAGGAATCAAATTATAACTTGTATATACAGACTCACGATCTTCAAAAAAAGCATTCTCTAATCCAGTCAACTGTGATCCATCACCATCATTAGCCCAATGACCTGGTGATTGTTGGTGACCTGCTATATACCAATCTCCACGTTGGGGATCTATTTTGGTTAATACTGTTAATATGAAGCCATGTTCTTCTGGGCTGTTCACTGCGGCTAGGTCAGCTTCGTAAGCTTGACATATCTTGCGCGCTTCGTTTCGAGGACGACTAGGAGATTTGGTAAATCGGTAGCATGACTCTCTGTAACGTAACCAATGTGGAGGACACCTGTACCTCTCTTCGTAATCGAGACCAGCGTAATAGCCGGCAGTGTCCTGTGAATCAACCTCGTTGATGTCATCACCGTAAAAGTCGGGGTTATAAGCGTCGGACGACTGATAGAATGAACTCTGAGATTGGCTATAATCATTTCCGTTGACGGGAAAACTGCCATAAGGTACCTGAACATTTGGTCGGTAAGATGTTCCATTCTGGTTAACAATATCCTGTTGCTGTTGATAGTTCGTGTTATACGTATTCTGCTCCAACACTTGAGTCCTTACAAAACTGGTGACGGCGAATAAAATTAAACACCTCATTTTAACGAGTTGTAATTAGACTATGATTCAAATATAAAGTATAAAACGTTTTAGATGTTTATCTGTCCCATTGTATTTTAGAATTAATTTATAAAATCTGTTTTTATTTAAAAACAAAACTGACAAAGCCTCGCCCTAAACAAAACCGAAACCGAAGCGAAGTATTGTCAGTAATTCATAATTCATGTCAATCACTATTGTCAATAATGACATATTCTCTACTTAACTGTCAACTGCTTAACGCTGTGTTCAATTTACACTATCTAATCAGAGAAATTCATTATATTTACAGTAATGAGATATTATTAATGATAATTCAAATTGTTAATTGAGGTATTAACGAAATTAGTAATTGCCGTCAACAGCCCCTATTGAATCATTATCTGATTCTGTATAGGATTTTTTAATGGATGGCATTCTATGGATGAAATAATAGATATCTAAATAGAGGAGATAGTAATGTTGAGGCTTAAATTATGAAGTGTGTACGTTATATTAAGATTATTACTAAGTTAGATTGATACATTGGGTATTATCCTATCAAGTCAGGACAACCACGTGGAGGACACGTGGTTCCATCTGGAAACCATCGTATTGAATTCCATACCTACGTATTCATTACGATAGATTATCTGACCTGCTTTTTCATTTTCACATATCATGTCACACTGGTGCCCCGCCAGCATAGGCGGGGTTACCATTCCATTTTTATTTTTAATAAATTTTATCACGATCAACATACCATGCATACCATACGGAAGACTTTGTACAAAAAGCTTCTGATAGTACATCCGATTCGTATTTCTGCTGTGATGTACCTATATAGTTGCATGGCTGTATTTCGGTTTGAACGGTGGGATATGGCGTAAATATACTGGGTACAGAGGAATAACACCTGAGTCCTTAAGAATGACATCGGGGCAGAATGAACGGGGAGAGGGATATCATGGGCGAAACAGTATACTCTGTTATGTTCATGGTACTGCTCATGTCTATAGGCGACGGTTACCACTTTCCATCTGGTGGGCCGTCAGCTTGTTTGCCATTCTATATTATATAAAAAAAGAGTAAATACAGAGGCTCCGCGTTATATGCTTTGAATACCAACGTGGTTAATTTTTATTTATCATCTCATACTTGTGTTCCGCCAACATATGCGCAAGAGCAGGTACGGTTACCCTTTTCATTTCATATTATTAAATAAACATCACCTCAGAAATAGCAATGCATAAATAGTTCAGAACTCGAAGTTATCAGAGAACTTTGTAGGAAATCGTCTCCATGGGCATCTCTGCCTCACTTATATCTGCCTTCTAGTAGCACAGTTCGTACGGTTTGCTGTGTTCCAGTTTTGTGTTCGAAACATACTTTAATTTTATACTGAGTAAATAACAATAGTGAGTACCGAAGAAAACAATGACCTTTATGAATAGGCAACATAGTGTAGTGACATTCATCTATGCGATAGTTACTATGCTACTACTTTTCATCAGGTAGGCCGTAAACTCGTTTGTTTGCCATTTCATTGTATATAAAAATGTTACGGGAAATTATTAATAAATAGAATACATAATTCAATGACCACATTTTTATTTTCATATTTATCAACAAGAAATATGTGTCAATAATTATAATAATACTTATACAGTAGGTACTGCTAATAACAGGCAGGTATTACACAACTTATTTATTCCATTCTGAGAGTATACACACTGTATATTTCGTAGGTTCCATTTATTCCAAATGTTTTTTTAATAATTTTATACTTTCTTTTCCATACGCAAGATAATCCACCTAATAATATGTCATCACAGATTAATAATGTACTTCTTCGTTTCTGATTTTCAAAGTTAAATAAATAGGGCGGAACATGACCATTAACTACAGAGTATAAAATGTCTACTATTTATTTATACAAGGTCCCAAAATAGATATCAATGTATTGCATATATATGTGTATCAAACTAAATTATCGATTAATGAAATATCTGTGTTGGTAGGTAGCATTTTACTGTTATTAGTCAGAAAAGTTACATTATAGCTTCAAAATAAGTTATAAAATAATTTGTTTACAATTTCCATTAGGTAAGTATTTACAATGTCAATATAAATTTGCGATATGCATTTTTAATAATGTGATTCAATAAATTTTTCTAATTTCTTACAGATAAATATAGGTATATAAATAAAAACATAACTTGTCTTCAAGTAAAATAATGATTTTACAGAAATAAAGATTATTTGCAAACGAAATTAGCAAACATAACAATGAACAAATAATTGTTGTCAAAAATACTAGCATAATCTCAAAACAAATAATTATTAATAAATTTCTATGTATATGGTCTCCTCTTCAATAACATTGAGAAGTGATGTATGTATCTATTAATGAAACAATAAAATAAAAATACTGGAAATCCCAGGATTTTAAAATTTTAGGGAACATTTTAATACATTTAATTGCATAAGATACAAATTGCACTTACTCCACACTACATATTTTAAGTACCTACAGCAATTGTCTGCTAAGGCTTGGTCCAACCCTGTGACTGATACATTCGCTTCCACATATTTTCATATAAATTCATCTACACAATGTTCAATTTAAATGTCCGCACGTATACTATTGCACATATAGTTTAAGATTATGCTAATGACTTAAATTAGACTGTGGTAACTATATCTCGTAATTTTATTTACTAATTTTAATTAATATTACACTAAGATAATTGCCGTAGCACAGATAAATCTATTCATTTAACTAACTCATTAAACCGTACACCAACGCTAAATAGCACCCATGAGAATAATATACATTTAAAGCAATATATATATATATATGCAAAAACGCTTAATAAATTATTTACAATATTTACATTATTATGTTGTTCGATAAATGAAATAGTCTTTCAACTATTAATAATTAATCTCGCACCCGTTGTAATGATGGAGTGACAAGATTATGTAATGGCTGCCTTAACATAAACAGTCTCATGAAACGAATATTTATTACATTGTTCTTAAATGAGATACGTCTTGTTTAGATTACATTAATCAGTCGATCTAGATGAAGATCTCCTTGTTGAGCTATCCTCAATTGCCACATCCGAATTATTAAATCATGCTCCAATTGCTAAAGATATTTTATTCATACCACTTTGTATAATTTGTGATACACTCTTCATACATTACATGATATTATAGGCCAGGGGTGCTCAAATTCAATATTGTTAGACGTAGATCGATCAACTCTGAGAGACTATCGGATCATACTATAGGATGTATCGTAGCATAGATACAAGAAGAGGTAAAAAATTCGCGGATTGAAGGGATTGGTGGAGTTGGTTTACTCATCCAGGTAGTCATTTGTTAAGCACCTCATTAAGAGTATATATACCAAGTTTGAACCAAATCGGGTCATTAACTTTTGAGTTACCGACCTGCAAACAAGTGAATCGGGAAGAAATCAGGGAGTATGGAAAAAATTGAATATCGCGCTGTTAATATGTTCCTCATCAAGCAAGGAAAATCCGCTTAGGCGACTTTTCAAGAGCTGTTAGCAGTTTACGCGGACTCTGCTCCTAGTAAAACCATGGTTTACAAGTGGTATGGTCTTTTCAAACAAGGAAGAGAGTCTATTGCAGATGACTCTCGCTCCGGACGGCCAATTGAGGCCACCACACCGGAAATCGTCGCAAAAGTAGAAAAACTTGTATTAGAATATACCCGGCTGAAGAAGAAGCAGCTTGCAGCAATGGTTGGAGTAGTTAGCGTAGAGTTAGAGTACATGACTAAGGCCAGTACAAAATGGATTCCAAGAATGCTCACGCCACTTCAAAAAAGTAAGCGTGTCGAGTGTTCTCGCCAGTTTTTGAAGTTTTGTGAAGAGAGTAGGGAAAAAGTAATGGCCCGGATTTAGCGACGATGAAGAAGTCAAGTCTGCAATTTCGGCCTATTTTGACAGCCAAGATATTTTTTCGATAATATAAACAAATTATTGGAGAGATACGAAAAATATATTAAGGTTAAAGGATAATAAATTGAAAAGGAAAAATAGTTCGATGTTTAATTTCAACCTCCTCATTCCTCGAACTTTTTGACCTCGCCTCATATTACTTTTCCGCACAAGATTCATTTTTTTTAGTCACAAGTCAAACGGTCGACCGCAATCGACTGTTTGAGCACCCCTGTTATAACAATTACGTGTTACTATCACCATCCATTGCATTTTTTTTAATAGGTGATAATGGAATGGTAACCCCGCCTGCACTATCGGGATACGTTGGCGGGGCACCAGTGAGGGATGATAGGAGACGATGAAAGCAGGTCAATTAGCCCATTGTGACGAATTCCACTAGAATTAACCACCATGGTTTCCAGGGGGAACCACGTGGAGGTCGACCTGATAGGGTGTATTGCTGGCAATGGGTCACTTAGACCCCATTACTAACAATCCCTTTCCCCCCATTCATTGTGTTATGTAATACTATAAAACATTAATAATATTTATAATGTTTTTTTCTCAAAGAATAATAGAATAAAACTGTCTCTTGATCCGTTATTAAGACAATTAAAGTCATTCAACTTTATAATTTTGAAGTGCTAATTAATCCAAACTCTAGAGTTCTGTCACTAGTGTCAGCTGACAAGAATTGTCTCGATCTTGAGCAATTGCCTAAGCTTGTCGGTTACTCTGACAAGCGCTACTTTCGAGGCGCGTACATTGACTTTTTCCCCTGCGCAAAGAAGTTGATGACATTGTGCTCTCTCCAAAAACTCTTGTGTTTTGATTTCTCGTAGCAGTTCCTTGGGAGATCCAGATCCACAATGTATTTGTTTTAGTAGACTATCCTTTGATTTGATCTGAAAACGTAAAAATAAATTGCTCATATGAGAATCTTTCGCAAGTAAATCATAATAAACTACAAATGCACGTCATTTGCAATATATAGTTGCTGCCGCTAATAGATAAAAAAATATACCTGTAACAAATTAATAACGTCCTGTAAAAGACACCACAAGCCATCACATGGCTGTCCTGAACCCGACCTCAGACTATAAAACGGGGGCAGCGGAGCCTCTGTGCATTGTATTTCCATCGTAGAGTCAGGTGGTGGCGGTGGAGAGGCTGGTGGTGGTGAAGACAATGGGTCACAACCATTTTCTTCATGATCTGTAACAAATATGTTTATAATAGTTACACCTATGACTTTGCTCGTTCGTATGACCATAAAAATTAAAATGCTATTAATTTTCAAATCTCTTGATAATTAGTTGATTTGTAAAGGTATTAATTTCTGTGGTAGAGATACCAAAAAGTAATAAACAAATCGTGCTTATAGAATTAGTAAAGATTTGCAACATTTATAAATACCAATGCTACAAATTAACGCTGCAACATGAAAAGATCTTCATGATCTACATTAAGGTTCGATTACATTTTTCATATCATAATTAAAAGCATTCTTCCTCTAAAATACACTCTGCCATTAGATTATGACCATTTAGATTCAAGAGTATTAATTCCTTAAGCGCTTATTCTATGATATTTATTTTGATAACTTACCAATAACCTCAGCTGGGTGAGGAAACCTCCATGGTTCGACTGCCTGACCTTGCACATCAGCAATATATAAACGAATAAGTTTCGCTGATTGCCCTTCAGCTAATTCTTCCGGCGTCTGACCAGCATATGTTCCCAGTAAAGGATCGGCGCCATATGATAGAAGAAGGCGTATTACTTCTACGTGACAGTTCTCGGATGCTTCATGAAGAGGTCTGTAAAAATATTACCGTAGGTATAATAATTTAAATAATTCTTTTGTAGTGTCTAATGAAGAAATTTCAATATTACCTTATGCCGCCCTGTGCTGCTGCTGATACATTTGCACCATATTGTAGTAGCAGTCGTGCGATTCTGACGTAACCCTTTGCAGCTGCCACATGAAGCGGTGTGAAACCTGCATTATCTTTAGCTGAAGGGTCAGTTGACATTTTTTCCAAACAGTAAGCCACGCAATCCTAAAAATGAATAACAATAAATTAATATATAATTCCATAAAACACCGACTTCAATATTGATAAAATTTTAATAATTTTGATTAAAAAAATATCACAGGTATAACATACATATAAAAAATAAATAAAAAAGTATAATTTGACGTTTACCGTATATCCAAGTTTAGCAGCACGATGGAGATGTGTTTCCCCAATACTCTTATTGATGATCCAACTTTTTATTTCTTTATGGATATCATGGACAGATTCAGGACTTGGTTTTACTGCAGGTCGGCGTACCTTGTTAGTATTCGTATCTGTGTCCTCTCTTCGTATTATTTTTTTCTTCTTACGTATATAATCAAACCCTGAACTAAATTTTCGTCTTCCAAATAATCGTTTTAAACGTCTTTTTCCTTCAGTTATTGTTAAAGAACTACCTTCTTCTTTTGGCTTATCTTGTCTATTGTCAAGGTTAGAACTATTTTCCTTTTTATGTTTTAATGCAATATCTTTCATTCGTTTATTAGGTAAAGATTTCATTAAACTATTTCTTTTCTTGAGACGAAGTAATCGCCCTTTAGCATCATTTCTTTTAAGCGATTTCGTACTTCGGAGACCATCTCTTATTGAACTTGATCTTCGTTTGAGTTTATCTTTCAATATTTTTTTCGTTTTAAATTTTGTCTTAACTTCAGTTTCTTTCGGTTCTTGTTTTATCTCTATTACTTGATCTTCTTGTATTTCATGTGATTCGCTTTCTCTGCATGATGATGGTGGTGCAGAAGCTGGTCGTTCATCACCAAATATTTCTTTAATTGTCGCCCGTTGTTTTAGTACTCTACTTTCGGTTCTAGTCCTAGACTTTAGAACAACTGGTGCAAATTCTTCTGTAGCACCAATCAGACCATCTGTATTTTTTATAAAAGCATTTCTAAACGCCGTAACAGTTTCTTTTCTAAAGGCACCTAAATAAAATATATCTTCCATTAGTTTTTCCTTTTTAGCACTGAGACTGTTTTTATTTCCATTTTTTACGAGACCTAAACTAGGTGTTGGTAACAATTCACTCGTATTTGAGCTCTTCGGTATAACTTTTGGGGTTCTCTCATCTTTATCTTTCGATTTCTTTTTAGTATCATCTTTTTTGCCACATTTTTGAATAAGAACATCAACAATAGAACTACCCTTCTTTTTCACTTTTGAAGTAGAGAATACCGTGGATGTTGAAGCTTCAGAATCATAGTGCAACTTGTGTGGTGCAGAACAACTAGAATTAGAATCAAGATCACTATCTAAAGTAAGTTTATCTGGACGTCTTGAATATAGGTCATCAGTAGCCGCTGAAGGAGCAGACGATGGAGCCGGGGAAAGTGGAGCCGGATCTAAGTCTGGCAGAGATGTAGTACCTCGAGAAAATAATGCCCCTGTTCCTTTTATAAATGGACCACCTGAACGTCCCCTAGGTATAGCAATAAGCCTTGTAGGCATTCGTAGAGAACGTTTGTATCGATATAATTCTTCTTCCCATCCCGGATGAAAATCAGAACCATCACCAAAACCGGGCTTACGGATTGGAGTAGAATTATTATTCGTCGTACTACTACTATCTTGTTTCTTGAAAGGAGATAATTTAATAGGAGATTTAGCTGCAGGAGTAGTTTTATTGTCTTCAGTTTTAATGCTTTTTCGTATACGTAATCGACTTGCTACGCTTAGATCGTCATCGTCATCACTCTCAGAGGTAGATTCACTGTTTTGTTTTAGATTTTTATTGTTGTCAATAGACGAAGATTTTCCTTTTATACGTGACGTTTGTTTAATTGATTTACCTTTAGTCTGCTTTTCTTCCTTATCTTTTAACGGAGAATCGATAGACTTTCTATTATTTTTGTTAACATCAACATCGCAACATTCTAATTTTACGTATGCTGACTTCTCAGATAAATCTTTAAGTAGCTGATATTTAAGTCGGTCACTTTGTTCTTTATCTTTTAGTAATTTACTTTTAATAAGGGGCTCATCGTCATCTGTAGATTCAAGTTCTTCTTTAATGATAGGTTTAATAGATTCTTTTTCCTTAACTTCCTTTTTAACAATTACTGGATTTAATGAAGCAGAGTCGTTTTTCTCAGATTTTACTTTCATTTTCGTTTTAGCTTTGGATTGTTTCTCACTTTCTTTACTAATCTTTTTATCGTTTTTAAGTTTATCATTTTTATTTTCCACTTTCTCTTTAGATGTTTCTTGTTTTTCTTTTTCTTTAGATATCTCTGTTTTTTCGTTTAAGGGTTTTAGTTTATCTTGAGCGACTTTATCTTTACAATTTAATATCATTGAGGATGATGGTTCACTTTGATTTAATACATCATATTCATCTACAGGCTCTTGTTTAATAGTAACAATAGGCGCTATTTCCTTTAGATCTTTTTCATCATTAATCTCTACAGATGTCTTGGTCTCTGTAGATAGTGACTTCTTAGATAACTCAGTTTTATTTTCATGTTCCAGCTCTGAATTTTCAATACGTTTTCGTTGAGTTTTCTTTTTGTGACACCCAGTCTTCAATTGTTCCATAAAGTTGTCACATGCACTAACCCAATCTAAATCTTCAACTGTATCGCTACTTAATGTATTAATTTCAGATTCTAAGTTTTCTATAATTGTTTCTGTTTTTATAGGTATTTCTGCATCCTTTTCTATTTCATCTATATTCATTGGCTCTGTTTTTACTTCGGGTAGAACAACTTCAGTTAAAGTTTCACTCTTTATTACAGATTCTAATCGAAGATTATCTTCTCTAATTTGATTAAATAAATGTTGTTTTTGGGATTTTGGGAGCAATTTCACTTTTTCATGCTCATTGGGCATATCAAGTATTCTTTCTGATTTTACATTACTTTCCTGAGATGGTGGCATTACTTTTAATTCAGCTTTCGTTCTAATTCGTGATGCGACATCATTTTCAGGGGATTTACTTTTTACATCAACATTATCGAATCTACTATAATCAGAATCTCGTTGTAATGAATCTACAGCTTTTGGCATATGTATGTGGTTACCTAGATTGGGAATTTGATTCTGAATTTGTTTTGGTAAATCTTTAACGACTGGTTCAGTGTCATTATCTTTCGTAAGATCAGTTATTTCTATCACAGAATCATCTACATCATCTATAACAATGAGATCAGGTATATTTCTCACTTGCTTAGTTGGCTCAATGAGCCCTGTTTGCTTGGTTTCTAAACTGTTGCGTAGTATACTCAATACTCTCTTATCAGCCGGTACACCATTGTGTGGGTCTATATGATTTGGATATATATCTCTATGGCTCGGAATTTTTTGTATAACATGATGACGGCTACTAGACGGATTTCTGTCATGATAATGAGAGTGATAATCGCTTGCCTCACGACTTGGAATCTCTGCTGGATACGTACTGTTAGAGTATCTATGACTAACGTGAGAATGATGTTCACGATACGTGTTAGAAGCTATAGGTCTCTTTTGTTCATTTTGATAAGCCTCAAATTGTTTATGACTGCTATAACTATAGACAGGTCGACTCATTAACTCATGTTGTTCGCGATCTGATTGGCTCATACGCTCTATTCGACCGTTCGAAGTCCAAGTTTCATATCGAACTATCTTTTCCGGAATGTTACTCACTATTGGCCCTGCAGGGCGTTTTCTTTCTTCTATTATAAAATGTCTATCATCTCGTATTCTATTTTCATGATGTCGATGATCAGTACTTGGTCGTGTTAAATCTATTCTAGGAACATGATCAGTTCTGTTCACCGGCGCATTATATTTGCTACGGTCTGAATAAATTTGATGAGGAGATTCAACAGAATAAGATTCAGGTGCTGGACGTCTTACGTCATATGCACCATTATACCGCATTGTTGGATGTGTCGACTGCACTGGTGTATTGTAATTATGTGTACTTCTTTCTCTATATTGCGTGAAATTAGGAGCAAAATCTACTTTATGAGAAGCAACATAACTTGTACCAGGTGGATTTTGTCGATTACTTGATATGGGCCGTGGTTGCAATGATAATGTTTTATTTTCCATCGATGGTGAATCAATCATGTCGTCTTGAGTTGTGGACGAATCGGCAGAATTTTTGACAGTCTTTACAGATAAATCAAGAGGAGACTCTCGTTTTTGTTTAACTTGACTCAGCTGATTAACTTGAACACTTGCAGAATGGGGAGAATCACGCTTATGTTTTGTTTGATTCATTTGGTTTACTAATGAAGTTACAGATACTGTCATGCGTGCCTGTTGATTAGGATATCCTGGTTTTGCCGTCGAACGAGCAGGTGATGTTTGAATGGGACTAGATGTTGGATATTCATAGTTAGTTTTTGGGGTTGCAGCAGGACGGTATAAAGATCTTGACTGCACCGAGGAATTTTGCAAGACTGGTACTGGCGTACTAGGTGCATATCTTGATGTTGAAGTTGATGGAATAGAGTAAGAATAAACACCTCTTGTGGGTGTATCAATATTTCTGCTTGAACTTGGATAGTCAACACGTGATGGTAAACGTGCTGTATCATGCATGTGTGGTTGTGAAGGTATAAGAACACGATCTGATGTTTTCGATCCATAAGGCGGATTTATTGTATCAACGGTAGCTTGTTTATATTGAACAGGATGGTGTGTTTCTATTCGATGACTTTGAGCAGATTGAAAAGTTGTTGGATTAGGCCGGTATCCTGGATATGCTTGTTGAGGATCATATTTTTGAGCAGGTACTGACGGATGTCTATCGTAATGTGATGATGTCCTACTATATGGAGACGGCTCGCGACGTTGCTGAAGATGGGGAGAATATATTGGTGTTGATCGAACGTCCAGCCTCTGAGAAGGTGTAGCCGTTTGTGGATGATGTATTGGTGGAACACGATCGTTATGCAGAGGTGGTGGTTGCGAAGACGGTAGAGTATAACGCTGAGTAGGAGGGCTATGTGTCGCAGATTCACGCAATCTTGAAGCGTTATGTGGCATAGAATTAGACAACCTCGCATACGTTTGTGGACTATGCCGTGGAGGCATTGATGGTTGAGGTGAGGCATTTGGTGGCCCATGTGAACTTCTTCCCGTATCAGGTAAGTTAGACTCATAATGATATCGAACATATGGTTCTGGAGGCCGAGAGGTGGTATAAGGATCTGGCGGGCGACCAGGTGCGAATTGGTCGGGCGGTCTTGCTGTTGGCGTAGGTACTCTGTGTACTGGTGGCCGATACTGAGTAGAAGCCTCTACAGGCTCTGGTGCTGGTGGCGGCGGTAAAGCTGCTGATGGTGGCCGAGACGGAGAAGGACAATGAACAGAAGGCGCAGGCGCAGGCGACGGTAGAGTACGTTGTGGTTTACGAATAAAATGTGAAGGTGGCGAAAGTGTAGCTATTGGTTCTTCCTCGTCTTCAACTTCTGGCATCTCACGTCGCTTTTCGGCCGCCTCCCGCATTACTGTGGCTTTATGGATAATATGCGGCTCAGGCTCCAAAGGTTCCGATGGTGGTCTTGGTGGTATCGGAATGGCCATCTGAGATGGGGTAGATGGCGGTGCAGCAGCAGCGGACGGAGGGCGCGATGAATGCGCAGGAGCGCCAGACTGAGCCGGTGCACCCTCTTCTAACATTGGGGTGCCAGCTGGCCACCCTGTCTGTCCGGAACCTTCCGCTTGCGCCTGTTTCGGTACTCCCATAAAGTACTGACGCATCCCTTCCATTACATTGTTGAAGCTGACATCCATGCTACGAGCCCCAGTATTGCGACTGTACACCTGAAACAACAAAGTAATGATTATCATTAGATTTAAAATAAAATCATTAAATATTTATCTATATAAGATTAATACAATATTTTCTAATAAATAATTAACATAATGCAATAAAGTTGTATCTTTATAGGCATATATAACATAATGCCCTTGACCTCGCGAAATTTTAATCCTTATTATATGTATAAACATTTAAAAATAGATAGAACCACCTAATAAAAGAAATATGTGGCTATTGATTTAAATTGGTGATTGGTAGGTACTAAGTAAGGTATATTACATTTCAGAATTCTCGCAAACAACTCGTACGCTTTTATCCGTAATTTACATAGAAAACTGACAATTATTTAAGATTGATAATATACATATAAAATTTTACTTCAAGTTCAATCAATTAGTGAAAAAACTACATAGTTTATCTGTAGCTTGGACTGTATAGCCATGATTATTATACTGGTAAGAGAGTGCGGATTGTCGAAGGTGGAATGGTGGGGTCGATACCCGACGGCTGCCCTTGAGCGTACTTCGACCCTACACAAGTACACACAGCGACTGTCGGCACACCGTATACAACACACAATTCACGCAAAACAATGTGGAACTTCCGTGTGCGCTCTTTGCTAATTATTCGCTAAAAAGTTTGTTCACCTTCGATTTAATGGTAAATATTTAGTAGATCATAGTGTTATAAACACTAGTTAACATGATGTTTTTCCTTGTTATTAACAATCATTGTTGTACTTGCTGCCGTTTACATTTCCCTTGAACAACTATTCTTTACCCTGTAATCGATAGGTAAGTAAATATCTATTGTATATTTATTTAATGTGGTAAACATTTGCACCGTGTAGGTAAGCGCCCGCCCACCGCCGCAGCTCTGGCTGTCTCCGAAGCAACGGCCACCCTCTATCGATCACAAGCCCTACGGCCGACGGCCCTGGTGGTAAGTATTATGTGTTCCGCCCTTATAAATAAGTTCATTTATCACGTCACAAATAATATGTATGTATCTTCAATGTACAATTTAATTGGAAACGTTGTTATAAATATTGAGGACATAATAATACCTATAATAATTTCATTTTTTTTCTGCAATTTTCGTAAATACTCTTTGTTCCCTTCTTTTCTCGTGGGTGTCGACTAAGGGAGGGCGAGGGATGGGTAGTAGCGTTCCTCTTAAAACATCTCTAGAGCCTAACTGCGGTTGCCAATCCGCCTGCTAAGCGTGGCAACTACTGGTAAAACCCCCCAAGGGAATGCTTATGTTCAGCAGTGAACAATTAAAGGTCGATATATGAATCCACGCAACTAAGTACCAGACAAAATATAAACATACTATATTTTAAGCGACGAACATTTAAAAGGAGTTTCTCATCTGTATTATTTCTCTGTACGTAACGCGATTGGACATCAATTTTGAATGATTTTGATAATTCTTTTTGAAATAATGTTTTCTTCCGGTATTGGTACTATATCAATTTTGTGACTTTTCTGCAGTTTATAGCCATACTTGACAAGCGAGTTGGCAACCATAGTTAGTGATGATAGATTTAGTGATGATGTCGATCATTTAGTTCCCTTAGTAACCTTTTACAGTACCCACGGGAAAAGAAAGGGTAACCCATTCTCTGCCAGGACCACACGGCAAACATATGTTCCAAATAATAAATCCAAATATTTTAATATGATTTTTTAATGGCTGGTACTGTAATACTGCCCTGCAAGCGTATACCGTTAGCGCAGACGGGGTACTAGTGAGGGATGACAAGTGAGAATGAAAAGACAAGTCAGTAAGCCCATCGTGATGAACGCACCTGAAGAATTTAGCACGATGGTTTCCAGGGAGGACCACGTGGAAGTTGCCCTACCTAAGTATATCTAGCAGTCCTATTGCTAGCAATACAGGGTGTATTCCTTACCCCCCCCCCTTGTGTTACGATTGAAGTCATAATTTTTAAAGAGCAAAATTTACTTATTATAAATACTTGTGCTCTATATGTATAATAAAATGTATTCCGAGTAGGAATGCTTATCATCAAACGTGTTGTTGTGGATATTTTATTCTCAGATCATTTTTATCGACGGAAGTTACTTTGTAACCACATAACAGAGTAGCGTCACTCTTTATCTGGACACGTCGCTTCAAAGACGATTTGGCAAAGTTCCCGTTGTACAAGTGCTCATTGTTTCGTGTGAATTACGCTGTACATTAGGTTTCAGAGTCCTCAGACGTCGACTTAAGATAAATACATATCACAGAGTTCGTTAGCAGCTTTTAAATATAGCTGTATAAATTTTGTTCATGTAAGTACACGTAATATTCAGTATATAACGTCCGTTAAATAAAACGTATCTGACTAAATCAAGTTTTGTGCTATGAGTAAAAAACGTTAACAATTATCGATAGAGATATATTGTAAACAAAATAAAAAACAACGATTTGGTTGTGGTATTTCAGGCCAACTTATAAATTAATGTTATTGTTGCAGTGTTTTTGTTCCGTATCAGTTTACGTGTAGTTCTGAGGTTTTGCTGTATAGTCATCTTTTAGCTGTGTAGTATGATATTTTTTTATATAATTGCTTCTTCCATTTTTCTATCTTGAAAACTATAATAGGTAAAAATAAAATAGAATTACAAACTGAAAATTGTCACTTTGCTGTGTTTTAACAGGTGTCGTGTACTTGACATAATTATTCAGACACTGTGCAATAAGTACGGACAATATATTACTATATATACTTATAGTACATTTGCAAGCAAGGCATATATAGAATACCTATTTATTGAATTCCCATAGGACCCTAAAATAACATTTTTGACATTTTTATTTTTATTTGATGAACGCGTATTGTGTAATAAATACTAAGCTGTTCTTGTTCGTTCGCATGTTCCGCATATATAACCTCGTTCGACCTTGACGTGGCTAGCTGATAACCAATTTTTTTTTCTATTTTAATATTAAACGACATAGTACGATTGAATTTTATTGATCTAATAGCACTATTAAAGAAATTCTAATACATGTTTCGACTATTTTATCACACTTATTTATTTATTAACTCTTCTAAAATTTTTATACGCTAGAATGATGGAAAGCAAATGTACAAATGATCTGATGATAGGTAAACTGTTTCTAATCGAAGCTTGCAAGAGCAGGTGTATTTTTTCTTGATGGGTGAAAATGGTATGGTAATTCCGCCTGCGCTAACGGGATATACTGGCGGAGCACCAGTGAAGGGTGATAGATGAGAATGAAAACAGGCCAGTTAGCCCATCATGATGAATTCATCAGGAATTAACCATGACAGTTTCCAGGGGGAACCGCGTCCTCGCGGTTCTATACCCGGTAATATACCCAACTTGCTAGCAATACACCCAACCAGGTCGACCTCCTGGTCGACCTGGTTGGGTGTATTGCTAGCAATGGGATTCTCAGTCTCCATTACTAACAATCCCTTTCCCCTCAGAGCAGGAGTGTTAAATAAAATATTACCAACTAAGTAAGACCAACCAACTAAGAAAGGTTTTTACACTACCTATCCACTTGTCGATTTGCGTCTCCAATTATATTTGATAAGACCAGTGAACTGAACATTATTATATTTATATACAACGACTCTATACAAATAGGTAAGCAATTAATCATTATATTACGGAAATCGATAACTTATCAGAATCTTATCACATAAATGTTGTAATTATTTTTTTGTCTTTGATTAACCTACATAGTACTTCTAGGATAAAAATATGTATTATCTATATAGATAGATACACGAGTAATAGTACTCACATAATACATTGCGTACTTTTTGTCTTTAGAAATATAAATAAATAAAATACTTTTAAAATAACATACAATTTACATGAAAAGGTTTGCTGGAAGAAATCTCTTATTAGAGATAAGCTCGCCTTTGTACATTATGTTTCCAATGAATTGTGGTTAACATTATGTTTTGTGTACAATAAAGAATAAAAGAAAGAAAGAATAAATGTTTTGAATTCTGAATGTCGCATCCATATTATATTTATTTATAACGGCTTTACTTACATAATTTTGGTTTTTTTTTTTTAATAGATGATAGTGGAATAGTAGCCCTACCTCACTAGGAATTCTATCTAGTCCAAAAGAGAGATATAGAAAACAGGTAACACTTATAACGTAAATAAATATTTAATACAGTATTATAGTACAATTATTACTTACGATAGTTTTATTTGCCGCATTATAAGGCAACTCCAGTAATAGTAGCAACGTTTTATATTTATGTAAAGTAAAATTGCATGCATGCATCCGTGCATCACAATATGCAATTACGTTCTGCACTTGAATAGATTCCGTTACGAGCTACCTAGGCTGCTAGTAATATAAACAGTATTATTATGTTATCTGTACAGTACATAGACACTGCAGTGATTGTGAAACTCCGTGGCGTCTCTTTTTCCATATCTTTAACAAAGTTTAAACATGTTCAAGTAATAACTTATTGTATTGGGTATTTTTATAATTTACCATGGTGTACCTCTCACGATATTGCAAGATTTTACCGTTACGATATAATAATAAAAAAATTATACAATTATATTATGTTAATAACTAGACATAAAAAATATGTTAAAATCAATAACAATCATTTATTTAATTTATATGAGTTAGTATTATAAATGACGATCAAATCATCACGTACGCTTTGAACTTCAATACGATTTCCGTGGTGTAATAGTAGAAACGGTCAAGGCCAAATTATAAAGCATTATGATTAACGAATTTGAAACTAGCACACTAAACGAATCCCACGACAAGAGGTAGAATTAAATCTTCTTTTATACACCGAAAATAAAATACATATATATTACTTTCTAACCATGTTAAGGATGTGCTCCTTTTCTAATATTTAGTGACATATAAAGATAAATCTGTTACTCTTTGTTTGCAAAGGTCCGTTGACAACCATAGTCAAACAGTGACACAGGATAAGACCTTAACATGAGGGTTGTCAATGAATACAATATATTTTAATGGTATTATTATCAATAGTCAATGGTTATCGTTGTTTGCCATTTCCAAATACAATCCTCTCCTAAATATAAGGTGACTGAAATTTAGATATTCTTTCGTTCTCCTAGGAAAAAGCAAAGCGACTCTTGATTTGAATTATCTGTTGTCAAGATTCTCATTGTTCTAGAAGAACCTCTTAGGCCACTGCCATAACTCAAAAATTATCTCAAATAAAATAATAATAAATATATATTACCTTTGATAAGAGCTATCCTGCTTGATGTGAATGACAGCCTATATTTGCGTTCATGACTTCGGTTTCAACCCCTCCAGAACCTGAAATAAAAAAATATAAAATTTTAATATGTACATTAATTTATATAAATAAAAAAAAGCGTCATGCGGTCTTACAAGATTTATGAGAGGACAAATAAACGACTTATGCATCTATTATAATTATATAATGAATATATAACAAATTAAAATCTAATAACTAATGTGACCAAACCAGTAGGACAGTTGATAACCCTAGCACTAATGTAGACGGACATTGACCCAAATCTGGCGTTCGTTGACAAACGATTCAGTACATTATGCGTATTGACTTATAAATCGTTTTCGATGAATAGAAAATATACAATAGACAGGGTGTCCCCTGGTGTCCTTTTTGTGTTGTGAATTATGTTTACAATTGATTAAGTAATTACTGAGACATGTGTGTAATAGGCATAATAAATATTTTAATTAATGATAATAATTTGAGACATTTTACAATGACAACTTTCTATTCCTTTCTTTCCAAAAAAACACGTGATAACTTTAAACATCGGGTAGCCTCATTGCCTGTATTATACCCTGCGATTAACTCTGGAAATAATCGTAGTGAATTCCCGATGAATGCGTTACTGACAACCGACCTAACTTCATTTGCATGGGGGGTAAGGGATTGTTAGTAATGGAGACTAAAAATCCAATTGCTAGCAATATATCCAACCAGGTCGACCTCCTCGTGGTTCCCCCTGGAAACTATCATGGTTAATACCTGATGAATTCGTCATGATGGGCAACTTGTTTTCATTTTCATTGTTACAGCGTAAAAAAACCATTCCATTTTCATCCAAAAAAAAAAAAAACTCCATTTGCATCTACCAATCGTTAGCGCAAATAGATCTATTTTACTTTTATCAGGAAATATATATTATAACCATATATTTAGGTTTTTTTTAATGGATGATAATGGAATGGTAACCCCGCCTGCGCTATCGGTATACACTGGCGGGGCAGCAGTGAGGGATGATAGGTGAGGATGAAACAGGTTAGTTACGAATCTAACAATAAATCAATCACGATGTTTTCCAGGGGGAACCACGAGGAGGTCGACCTGACAGGGTATATTGCTAGCAATGGAGCAACTAATCCATTACTAACAATGCCTTCTCCTACCCAGTTATCTAGGTAGGTAGCAAATGTTTCGATGCAGTTGTACTGAAAATTTTGTTCGATCTCTGCAGAATTATCCTAATTTAAAACTTTTTTCTAACCCATCCTCTTCCATATGGAGTGTATGCACTTAAACAGACTTCAGTAAAAAAAGATCCTTTATTTATACGTTTTTGTAACAGACATAATTATAATTTTTCCCTGCCGGATGTTCCTCAACCCACGCCCACGCCATCTTTAATTGACTGATCATCTCCGACCAAATTCACCAAATTGGTAGACTTCTTTACTATTTGATTAATTATTTATTTAGTTTATATATTTATTTCTACAATTTTAGGGCGGATAAACACATTAGAAGTATACATACACATACATATCAAGTGCACTATGGAAAAGCGATTTTCGTCAACGCAAAGCGGTTAGATCTATGTTCGAACTATATTTACACACACACACTACAACGCTCACAGCTGTGTCGGGTCATTGCCCCCGCGGGCCGCGCGAAACAAGGTGAATCGTAATATACGAAGTCTGTACCTACTTTTTGTCACACTAACTGAACTATAAGTATCTACATTCGGTTTAAACGTCTTTGTAATTTGTATTTTGAAACTTGAATCAACAGATGATATCATACTTATATTAGTAGTTGTGTTAAAATTAAATTTAAATAAATTTGTATGTAGGTAGAAACATATATAAAATTACGCAAGGTAATAGTAGAGTTTAAACAATATTAGGTACCTAATCTACGCAATAGAATTTGTTAGTAGTGGGTAGTAACGATCCCATTGCTAACAATTAACTCCGTGAAATCGATCTCCACATGGTTCCTCCCGGAAGCCGTCGTAGACGTTTTACCGAAGTCGTAGATACGAAGGTCCACCTGACGGGGTAACAAATGCTAACAATGGGCCCACTAGTCCCCATTGTTGAACATTCCCCTCATTCCGGGTACTGGAGACATGAGCGTGATTCTTTCAACTCAAAAACTCATATGGACTTAGGTAGGTACGTATATTGCGAATGTGACGGTGTGAATCTCTTTGATCTTTCATATTTAGGTGAGATCAAAGAAAAATCCGACATACAGACGTGGCATTTCTTTATGGTTATAATTTGGAATTTATATTTCTGACAATTATACATCCAAATCCAAATAATAACATGATTAACACAAGAAAATAAACACTTCATTTAGTAAACATTTACCGCTGGCTATAATTAAATGGACTCCTTTGTCTGAAATAAAAGATTTATACTTTATATATATATATATATATATATATATATATATATATATATATATATATATATATATATATATATATATATATATATATTTTTCCTAATAATTAATTAGTTTATTTATGTTAATTTAAGCGACATTTGTACAAAGTAAATTGAATAAAGAATAAAATATAAACTTGATAAAAATATATTCAAATCATATAAAATGAAATAAATTTTACACTTTACTTTTACTATAACCATAAGTAGAATTAATCATAAATTGTAGTTTTATTAATCAGAATCAAAATCACGGCTTTACCGTTAGAGTGAAGGTTAGTGAAACACGAGATACATAGGTAACAAATATAAAAATATGCTTGTTTAATTCGTAAAAGCACATAACCGTTGTAATTTCGTACAGCGATGCTAAATAAACAATTTCCCTCGTGCCACATCACCTACATCGGGGAATGGACAGGGAGTGAAAATTACATCGACGTACCCTCACCCTCATGCCTCGCTTGTATGCTACAAATAAATTATACTTATATCTGTCTATACGAGAAGGTACATTTAATTGATTTTCTCGACATTTTACAAATAAAAATTAATTGATACATATATGTGGTGGGGGAGAGGTTGTATGGACCTAGAATTTCATATTGTTGCCATTGTAATGAACGTAACTCGTTGCCGAGGGGGGGGGGGGGGGATTGTTAGTAATGTGGATTATCAGTCCCATTGCTAACAATATACCCTAACAGGTCGACCTCCCCGTGGTCCCCTCTGGAAACCATCGTGCTGAATTCCAAGTGTATTTATCACGATGGGCTAACTGACCTGCCTCTTCATCCTCACCTATCATCCCTCACTGGTGTCCCGCCAGCGTATACCGTTAGCGCGGGCGGGGTTGCCATTCCATTATCATTCATTATAAAAAAAGAACACGTTGCCGAGTGTATTGTAATATATATAGAGATACTCTATATTGTTTCCTCCAAAAGATTATAATAGTAAACTTATTATAAATATAAACAATTACAAGAAACAATCAGCACAAATTGTTCAGCTATCAGAACAGTTTTTTTTTAATAATCAGAAATATTGAAAATAGTTTAACTGTTTTTCAAAATAGACACCTATTTAATTCCGACTGCCACACTCATATCGAGAATATTGTTAAAAAATATTGTATTGGATTGTTAGTTAATGCAGATTACTAATCCCATTGCTAGCAAGAGACCTCGTCAGGTCGACCTTCCTATGGTTATCCCTGAAAACCATCGTGCCACCTCATGTTCCAGGTGTTCATCACGATGGGCTAACAAAATTATTGGGAGGGGAGGAGGGCAAAGGATTGTTGGGCTTACTGATCTGCTTTTGCTGCTACCCGCCAGCGTATACAGTTAGCGCAGACAAAAAAACCTATTCTGATCAGATAGATCGTGTTTTGTCTGAAAGAGAAGACAAGAGTCTACAAAAGCGGCGTGCATGCATGAGAACGAGTCATGAAAGAGAAAGAAGCAAGATATGTATGTAAGAACAGAGGTCTTTGGTACACTGTTTCTTTTACCTATCCCACAAGGTATTTAAAGTGAAAATAGATAGATGGGTAGCATTAATTTATCAATCATTCGTGCTTCTATTCTATTTGGCTGTGTTTCGGTTTGAAAGGTGGGATATGGTAGTGAATTTACAGGGTACAGAAGAATAACACTCGAGTCCTCAGGAATGGCAACGCATGGGGTGGTATCATGGGCGAAACAGTATACTCTGTTATGACTATGGTACTGCTCATGTCTATAGGCGACGATTACCACTTTCCATCAGGTGGGCCGTCAGCTTGTTTGCCATTCTAAGTTGTATAAAAAAATCTATCGCTCATTTATTTGACATAGGTATAGTTATAAGTTTGATTTTGTAGACGCTATGTTTTACCATCATAAAGCGTACAAATATTATTAATTAATTAATTACTTTATAATAATACAATACAATTACATTATACAAACAACATAATAATTATTAAGATGAAAATTGCAAACAAATCAGTAATAGTAGTATTAATTTAACAAATAATGTTAATCGAGAACGCCAAATTTGACAATTTTACTTTATTGTCAGAGCGCTGGTTAACGTTATTAAACTGTAAAACTAAGTAATTGTACATACACATATATTTGTAATAATAATTACACTACTACTAAGCTACACAAGGTTATTTGATAAGATAGCTATTCTTAATAACCCACGCAATCAATTACCACAATAAAACAGTCAGACTTCCGACATTTTCGACAATTATAACTACAAATTTCAACGATTTTGTTCAATTTCAATGTTGTTTTAAGTTTTTTATAAACCCTATAAAAACTTTTCTTTTTATACCACTGAGGTGACAAACAAGCATACGGCCCACCTGATGGTAAACGTAAACCTAATCGTAATGTTAGAAATTTACCTTTTGCCCACTACACTTTGTACTGTTACAAGCCTAGCATATAGGCATATTTAGGCGATTTACAATATCATTTATTTCCATTCAATTCAGCATTAAATGTCTATGTAGTCATACAAATCCTAAATTAGTCAGTACTGAAGTAGATACTGACATTTATTGATATTTTATTTGTTAATTTAATAGCTATATCTTACTTAAA